TATTACAAGATCTTTTCTCGTAATAACATTAACTCGTAATAATATCTTTTCTCGTTATAACGAGATCTTTTCTCGTAATTACGAGATAAAAATATTTTTTTATGTGGCCCTATTCGTCTTTCGTAGTTAACGTAGGTAGTTTAGTTAAATTTCTTGTAACCGTAACGATATTTTATGTTGATTGTTATTGGATTAAAACTAATATTTTCATAATATGCACAAATATTTTTTTTATATTGAAAAAGGTCTTCAGCGGGATTCGTTACACAGTCCTAGTGACCTAATAATATATATATATATATATATCACACCCTGTATGAATCTGTATTAGGTCACTAACTGACTGTGTAACTAATAATATTTAGGCTGGGGTGTATTTTTTAAACACAAAATTCACAATTTATTTGCTAATAAAAGTAAAAAAAGTTGGGGGTTTTTTCTTGCAAAAGGTCATCATAAAAATAAATCTTTGTTTGCCCTCTCTAAACTCAGGGTAAGAAAGTTGGGTCAATTCTCAGTAGGTAGGTTGGGCACTTTATTTCCTACAAATTTACTACAATATTTTCACATCTCAGTCAATATCAGAAAAAAATCACTTTGACAGCTGTCAATGACGTGTAGTTCACCAGGTGGACATACAGTCTTTTCATCATCTCGACTCAAATTCTATTTTATCAAATCTTATTCAATAAATATGTAAATTTCAGTAGAAGGACAGGTGTCACTATTACAGATTACCAGGGTCATACCAGTCAACGTACCAGATATAAACCCTACTGTAGCTATCTAACATGTTTCACCACACTTCTTTATTTCTTGGCTTTGCCTTTTGCACTGTTCTTTTCAGGTTTGGCATATTTAGCCTCTAACTGTGAGAAGAAATCCTCAGCCGCCTGTTCCCTTGTCTGCTGTTTCTTCAGTATCAGGGCTTTCAGTGATTTATCGTTATCAAGTCCCAGCTTTTTAGCCTCTATTTCGGCTTCTGCCGCTTCAGCTTCATGCTGTTGGAGGAAAATATATTTCTGAGTGAAAACTTATTCAAAGCATTTAAATTGCAATTATGCCTTTTTTTTCTCTGAAAACCTTTAGGCTTTAGCATTAAAAAAAATGAATCAATAAAAGTACTATTAAATTAAAACTCATGAAATGGGGGAAAATTAGTCATGATCATATATTGTAATCAACATTATTTGCTACAACTTTATTTGTGAAGATTCTGTTTTAAATCCATCTGTGAATATTAATTTTCAAGACTTAAGACGCCATTATGTAAAATACACAAGATATTAGAAGCAAAACAAAAAGTACAAAAAGTTTGAGAAACTCAGATAATTCTCACATGCAAATAAAACTTTGTGTAGTCTGTATGTTAAATTCATAAATTACAAACAAGAAAAGCATTTTCAGCATTTCATGCCTTGTCATTAATCAAACTGTGATGTTTTAGATTACATATTTAATTATTTACTTTTCTCTTCCTCTCAAGTTTCTTTTTCTTTCCTTCCTTTGAAAATGCTGGAAAATCTGGGATTTCCTTTTTTTTAATTAATTGTTTTAAAATCTTTGTAAATCTGGCTTCGTCTTCAATGGTAGCACACATCACACTGTCAATAATATCATCCATATCACCCTCACATTCTATGTACGCTGTCTTCAAATCCTCCAACTCTTCTGATGAATCTAAAAAATATAGGGTACTTCTGTAATGATAAAACTTAGTTAAATAAAATAAACACAAAAATGCAACCTTGTTAAGTTATTAACCCAAAAATATACATAACTGTTTACATTTTATATAACAAGTCCTAGAATTTATGATATACTCAATATAATTTAATAGTAGAAGATTAAGAGGGAGGGGCTTTTTAACCTTGAACATTGATTCATTTGCATGAAAATATTTACAGCTATGCTTTTCTGACACAACAAAAAATATCTTGAATGCGAAATTATCTTTTTGCACATCACCAAGTTAATGGAAAACGAATCCAGTCACAGTTAATATTTGCCATCAAGGTTTCCTTTTCTTATTAAAATCCTTTGATTTCCTCCTTTTAAAAGTTTTGCTTTTCCTGAAATTTTAATGATCATAATCCTGTAGGAGGAAGAGTTGAAACCTGAATCTTCTTTGTGGAATGACTTGATGTCCTCCTCAGTGACTTTTTTGAACAGTAACCTCCAGTAATCATTCCAGTCTCTGTCTTACCTTTATATTCTTTGTGGAATGACTTGATGTCCTCCTCAGTGACTTTTTTGAACAGTAACCTCCAGTAATCATTCCAGTCTCTGTCCTGTGGTACAGAATCCTCATCATCAACATCACCTTAACAAAAAAGTACGTAAGGGTTGCCCGCAACCCTGTGTCTCGCCTGCTGTCGCTGTGGTTAGTAAGAAATGATTGTCTGATAAACTGAAGCATTTATTGACATTTATAACTCAAAAATACAATAATAAAGAAATGGAACAGCTGACTTAATATCTAATCCCTTGGCGATTATATTGGCATTTATATATATATACATATACCCTGTAAATTCACAAATTATTGTGATGTTTTTATTATTGCGAATATTGCAACGTGTTATGAGTCGCAATAATTTGAACTTGCATTTTGAAATCAAATCCACTGTATATGTATCAAGTCATTCATGCAGAAAATGTAGGTGAAGATTACCTAATTATGGTACTGATATTGTTGGTTACCCATGATGTGTAGACTGACAAATTATCATGCCACTATAAGTTTTTGCTGAGATATGGACCTCCACCATAAATTTATGCAAAGTCACTCAGTCGGAAAAATGTAGGTCAAGATGACCTAATTCTGGTACAGGCGTTTGTGGTTACCCATGATGTATCCACTGACAAATTATCATGCCACTATAAGTTATAGTTGCTGAGATATGGACCTCCACCATAAATTTATGCAAAGTCACTCATGTCGGAAAAATGTAGGTCTTTATACCTAATTCTGGTACAGGCGTTTGTGGTTACCCATGATGTATCCACTGACTAACTATCATGCCACTATAAGTTATAGTTGCTGAAATATGAACCTCCATTATCAATTTAACCAAAGTCATTCATGCAGAAAAATGTAGGTCAAAATGACCTAATTCTGGTACTGATGTTGTTGGTTACTTATAATGTACAATGACAAATCATCATGCCATTATAAGTTATAGATGCTGAGATATGGACCTCCACCAAAAATTTAACCAAAGTCACTCATGCAGAAAAATTAGGTCAAGATGACCTAATTCTGGTACTGACGTTTGTGGTTACCCATGATGTATCCACTGACTAATTATCATTCCCTATAACTTATAGTTGCTGGAATATAGGTCTTCACCATAAATTATCATGAAAAAACTAAGTCCAACTTAAGGAAAAAATCGGAAAAATTTGAATTTTTTTTTTCAAAATCATACTTGGGATATAAATTTTTATCCATACTGAATATTGTGTCCAAATTTCAAGAAGACTGAATAAAATTTGAGAAAGTTATTGCAGTTTATAAAACTTTGACATTTGGGTTAACCAAAAGTTCGCTGACGACGACGACGACGACGACGGAATCTATGGTCGCTATGTCTCGCTTCGCGACATTCGTCGCAGGCGAGACAAAAATGCTGTTCTGATGATTAAAATTCCTCAACCACTTCCTAAAACTAGAACTGATTTAATAAAATGAATACAGTGTACACACCCTCCCTGTGGCACACGGGGAAGTTTAAAAAACTTATAGAAAAAGAATTCTAATTCAACCTCTGGCCACGAGCAATATCTGTACCAAGCATACCAGTATACTTAAATCTTTTCCCTGTCTCACTGTGGCTAACTCTCAAAATTATTCTATTTTAAACTATAGGTTACAGTGGGTAAAGGTTGATTTCAGGGCCATAGAACTTAGACAAGCTCACTTTTGATCTCAGTCTAACTTTTACAAAAGAAATTCATAGTGGAAAATTTAGACTTAGATTGTGGATAAAAAGTGAGCTCGTTTAAGACTAAAGTTTCATGACCCAGAGGCAAGGACATCTTCAAGTCATAAGCACCATTTGTTTCTTTTGTTTTTAATGAAGTAAGAATTTTATATTTGAGACCCATTTGGTTATATGTTTTATGTCAATCAATCCTAGTCATTTGATGTAACTTTTTGTTGCTCTCAGGTACAAACTGATTTTATTTGTCTCTTAACTATTGATGTTGATGTATATAATTTTATTTACTTTTGTACATGTTTTTTATATTGTGCTTTTTGATCCATTGTGATTTATTGCATATTTCAATAAATGACCTTTTTTTTTCTTTAAAGAGGAGTTATGTTCTTTTTGATGTGGGTGGTAAGGCAAGCAGACATAAATTTATTTTTGGAAAACCTTGATCTTGACCAAACTATAAAGTCAAGATACATTCAGTAAAAAAAAAAAAAAAAAACAGCTTTTAAAAACATTAAGACATAAACTGGCTGTAGCAAAGTGCATAGATCATCTATTAGATAAAATTTTAAAAAGTGTTCACCTCATATGTACATGTAAATAATACTAATATCTTCAAAACATTCAGGTTGTACTTATATTTGATTATGTTGGTGGTTGTGCATGTTATGAAAATATTTTTAATACCATAAATGTGAAGAATATTGTAACCTGGGTGTTTGGTAAATTTTTGCTTTAAACAATAATCTACAAGAATATGTCAAAGGATATTTACATAATAAATTACACTAGTATATCAAAGCGATTAAAGACATGTTTTTCAGCTATTTATGCATTCTCTACCCGTCCTATCAACTTGGTGCAATCAATACCTGTCTCATCATACACTCCTCTCTTATCTTTATCCGACAGTATACTGTAGATGCGACCCAGCGTCTGGAACTTTTTTGTGGCCTCCTCTTTCTTTTCTGTGTGAACACGGTCAGGGTGAACTTTCAGGGAGACTTTATGATATCCTTTTTTCACTATAACAAAACAAAGTAAAAATTTAATAGATTGAACAATCCTCTCCCTTAACAATTTTGCATAGGAACTAATGTAAAATTGTGGATTTAGGAAGTAATCACTTTTTGGCCAAAATTTTGTCATATTCAAGAAGTCCAATACAATCACTAGAATATTTAGCTATGTAGGTAGAATTACCTACGTAGTTTAATTTACATACCTCAGGTAGCTTTATTTAGCTATTTCAATGCAACTTTTCAATATTTTTCTTTTTATTAAAAAGAGACAAAAATCGCAAGTAAATGACTATTAATGTTTATACTAGGGAAGTTTTAAAAAACAATCCAAAGCAGAGATAGTTTATACATTGCTGCGTTTGGACAATTTAGAGCAAAACATGTAATTCCATTGTTTGGGTAACTGTCCTTTCTATTGTTTGTGGTGAGGCATGACTGAGTATAATTACTTCGCATTGTGCTGAATAATTACCTACCCATTATCATGTTAACCAGAACTGGACCTCTTTGTCATATCATTCAACGAGTAACTGTTTTAGCTGTCATACATAACACCAAAACTTAAAGAACTTTGATTGCAATTGCACAGAAAAAGACATTTCTGCAAGAGTGATTTGTTCATGACTTGTTTTCAGATGATTTCAAAGTTGAAAATGATCAGATGATCACCAGGTCCAGTCCAAAGACTATTTCTAACTACGTAGCTATTAATAGCTATGTAGGTATTTAAACCTACCCAAAGTAGCTATTTTACCTACTTTTGGTATTATCTACAATTTGTGGCCAAATGACTGAATGGCGCAACATGGTGAATACCATAATTTTTTATACAATCATACTAATGATGAATAAGACAAAATTTTGACCAAAATATGATTGCTTCCTGAATCGGAAATTTTACATGTTTCTATGCAAAATTGATAATATACGAAGTAATCATTTTTTGGCCAAATTATTTGTCATATCCATCATCAGTGTGACTATATCAAGAAATTCAGTGCTCACCATGTTGCGCCATTCCTGCGTTTGGCCACAAAATGCAAGTAAAGCAGAAAGTAGGTAAAATTAGCTACTTTGGGTAGGTTTACATGTTTAAATACCTACGTAGCTATTAATAGCGAGCGCAAAGAAGCGTCGCGAAGCGACGCTCGCGAAGCGAGCTCAATAGACTAACGTGTATGAACAGAGGAAATTCGGATTGAAATCTGTACATACGTCAGCCAAATTTCTCTGTGCAACATTCCCAGAATTCCTGCACTACCCAATGTCCTTTGCGCGAATAAATCAAAAATAGTAAAAAAATTAAAGGAACATTGTATCTTACCGAAATCTTAACGAAATGATTTAGCCTTACCTTATTCAAAAAAATACCCCCATGCCACAACACCGGCCTTCACCTTGCCCTTCGGAAATGATACAAATGACGTCACCGGAAACTTACGAATTTTGACGAAGTTATGTCGGTTTCTTCCGTGAAACTCGGAAAACATGTTGCGGTGCATAGCAACAACTTACTTGAAAAGAACGATTAAATGCAATCTCTTTTCCATAAAACTAGCGTTTGCGTCCTAAGTGACTAAGTCAACATAACTTTTTATCTGACGTCATGCTTTCGTCACTTCAACGGTTCGGGTATTTCCGATTTTGTCGGAAACTTCCGAGAAGTTTGGAATCTCGATCCCGATGCTTGGGAAATGATTTCTTTTTATTGTTTTGTTTTATTCTTTTTGCTTTCTTTTTCTTGAATGATAGACAGTACATGTGTAGATTTATGATAGTAAATAAACTGCGCTCGCCCCAACGGTCACACCGTAAAACATATTAGCTAGGTAGGTAGAAATAGTTTTTAGACTGGACCTGATCACTGCATCCAAATGAGATTTTCTGCACATCCAGAGAAAAATGCTTTTTTCTAGAAATACATTGATTTTGTAGCTAAATAAAGCTACCTCAGGTAGGTAAATAAAGCTAAGTAGGTAATCAAGCTACGTAGCTAAATCAGATGCCGAGACAGTGATTGTACCAGACCTGGCTACGTATCAAGTGATTGTACCAGACCTGGCTGACTCAAAAAACACAACATTACCATCTTTGTGTGAAGAATCCTTTTCGATGCCAAGTATTTCATATAAATTATCTGTCCCGAACAACTCTTTACATGTTTCCAATAAGCTTGGCATTATTTTCGACAACTCAGCAACTGGCACTAAACCAGCTATCTTCCCGCGTTTTCAATTTGAATTATTTTACCTTCTTCAATTAAAGAGCGATGTCGATTTTAGATAATGCGTACAATAGTTATTCCATTTCTAAACATGTAATGGGTAATCAAAATAAATAAATCTTTGCATAAACAGTTCAAGCAATGGAGGAATAAAATGTAAAAAGTAAAAAAGTAAACATTGAATGAGATTTTGTAGAAAATGGCAGGAAATACAAAAGGCGTACACCAGGTAAGAAATGCAAGTGTAATTGTTGCGGGTGATTTCAACTTACCAGGATGGAACAGGGCAAATAAGACACTAAAGCCAAATACCGTCTGGTGAGGAAATCACTACAAATTTGTAGATATCCTGGATGACAATGGCTTAGTTCAGCTAGTAGAATGCCCAACAAGAGGCGAAAACACCCTGGACTTGATATTGACCAACAATCCTTCAAAATTTAACAGAGTAGAAACCATACCAGGCATATCAGACCACGACATTGTTTTTGCAGAAATAGACACCAACATCCCAAAGAAACATTTAAGAATCCCCTTAAATCGCAAAGTCAGCTGGGATACAATGAAAGAAGATATATGACATAAAACCTAAATATAAAACACCAAAGAACTGACAACAATGGAATCTCACTAATCCGCAGTGAAGGAGTGCTACATGCCAATCCAACTGACCAGGCAGATACGTGCTGAACAAGCAGTTCCAGTCCGTATTCTCAAAGAAGACATATATCAGTACTGAAGAATTTACTCGTGACTGTCCTATGAGTGGAAAATATATACCCAGTTGCACCAGAACTGCACATCACCTATAATGGAATTCTAAGACTACTAAAAAATCTGAATCCATATAAAGCAGCGGGCCCAGATGGGATTAAACCAAGAGTACTGAAGGAGCTGGTTGACAGCTTGACCCCTATTCTCACCATCATCTTTGGGAAATCTCTACAAAGTGGAGAGATACCGTCGGAGTGCCGTAAAGCGCATGTAAGCCCAAAGGGGATAGATACAAGGCTGAGAAGTATCGGCCCATCTCCCCTATATGCATCTGATGCAAGCTTAAGGAATACATCATCACCAGCTATATTATGCAATACACTGATACCAACAACATACTATACCCGCTTCAGCATGGTTTCCGTAGCGAAAGACCCTACAATGAATTCCAATTCATTGAGTTTATAGATGACATAACCACCCACGTGGCTGCTGGAAAGCAGACAGATATATTGATCATGGACTTTTCCAAGGCTTTTGACAAGGTTAGCCATAGCCTCCTCATCCATAAGCTCCGACATTATGGGATCCAGGGAAAAGTGAACAACTGGATTACTAGCTTCCTGTCCAATAGAACACAAGCTGTAGTAGTCGATGGAGAAATGTCCAGCTATGTCAGTGTTGACTCTGGAGTGCCCCAAGGGTCAGTCCTTGGGCCATGCTTATTCCTGTTCTATATAAACGACATGCCAGAAGGCCTCAATGCCACCGTAAGACTTTTTGCTGATGACACTATCGTATATCTTAGGTTACGTCAGAACTGGACACCCAGACACTCCAGGCAGACCTAGATAAACTGGGCATTTGGGAAAGGAAATGGAAAATGGAATTCCATCCGGATAAATGTAATGTTTTATCAGTCAGCAGGAAGCCAATTAAACCCAATACATCACCAATACAAGCTACATGGCCATACTCTAGAGCATGTTAAAAGAGCGAAATACCTCGGCTGTCTCATAACATCAGACTTGAAACGGAGTGATCATATTAGTAACATCTGTAGCAAAGGAAACAAGACCTTAGGATTTCTCCGCCGAAACTTAAACATCAGCTCAACATGAATAAAGGAGAGTGCATACAAGTCTCTAGTTAGACCCCAGTTGGAGTATGCAGCACCTGTCTGGGACCCCTACACCCAAAAGACATCCATAACCTGGAAATGGTCCAACGACGTGCTGCACGCTACGTAAGCAACAGGCATGGTAACAGATCAAGTGTGGACAGCATGATACAACATCTACAATGGCAAACACTGGAAGAGCGTAGGCGAATCTCCAGACTCATCCTGTTTCATAAGATCGTTCATGATGAAGTTGCCGTTACCAAGCGTGATCGACTTATTCCACCACTACGTCGATCACGACATACTCACCAAGAAGCCTACCAATTACCATCTTGTAAAAGTGACTATAGAAAATTCTCATATTTCCCTCGTACCATCAAAGAGTGGAACCACCTACCACCAGAGATAGTCACGGCAAAAACACTTGAGACCTTTAGGTTTCAGGTGACCACCTATATGCCAAGAATCATAATTTATATTTTAACCTTTTAAATTTTTATTTTTTGGAAACGCCATGCGCACCACACACATGCCATAATAATCAACTAGTTGATTGTGGGCATTACATGGCAGAAGCAGAAGGCGTGTATTATTTTTTGGCAATCCTCGACTGATTCCACTTTTTTCAGTTTTAAATTTACTTCTCTACTTTTAAAATTGTTGCTACAGGTCTATTTTATAATTTTCTCAAAGTTCCAAAAATCATATTTATTATATTATATTATTATATAATTGTATTGTGGTCCTTAATGTACAGACAAAGTCTAAATATATTATAAATGTAATTTTAAGATTGAAATGTAAAAGGTGAAGATAATGGCATAAACAGTGCATTGAACAATCTTATAAACACAACCTACAAAACGAATCACAAAGTGAAACAAGACAAGCACTCGCATCCTGGCAACATCAAAAGTAGGATCTGGTGCCTAGAAGTGAACGGCATCCCCTGTCGACGGCCACGCACCTTGGGCGCTATATATTGATCACTGAGACGTCATTTTTTTCTCAGTAGCTTAAATGTTCATGTACCTTGGTTAAAATATAGATCCAGCAATTAGATCATGATCTTACATATCGAATCAAATGGAAAACATAAATACCCTATGCACTGGCTGATGTTGGATTATGCTTTATAAAATTATGAATTAATGAAGATCGATTGAACTCAAGGATCTTTTAATTGAACTTCAGACTACGTATACGTGTATGTACAAAAAGAGCGATCTTTTTATTTATTTATTTTCATTTCTTTATTTTTTTTTGAAAGCCAACATCAGATATGAAAACTTAAAAGCTCCTTTTTAATTGAGAAAGTTTTTTTTATTACCAGATGGTTTGCTCTGAATTAATTTTGTTAAGGGATGGTTATAAAGTGTTGTAAAGTTACACCTTCTGATGCTTTTCATATTTGAAAAGTTCTGAAATTGTTTTTCCAATTATTTTTTGAAGTTTTTTTTTGGTCCACACTTGATTGACATTATTGCTTGAATATGTTGTAGCACACGACGTCTTAAGTTTCTTCTTCGCCGAGAGGAATAAGCTAGATATAGGGATTTGGCTGAATATTTATTGTTCATTATACACATTTATATGTAACATTGGCTTCATGCATAGAGAGGGTATTTTTAGCCGTTGAAGGCTTGTCTCCCAGTCTATTCAGTATTTGGAATAAATATTGTTTAAAGTAAATTTATAGGACCCTTCGATATAGTATAAACACGGTTAATCCAACCAGCTTTATTAGTACTGATTTATCAAAACTGATTGGTGATTTTTTGAAGAACTTTTAGTTCAGACACAGGAGTTCGTGTACCTATTAATTCTACCGAAATTTTCAGTAAATTAAAAAATACCTACTACCATTATTATACATTTAGGTAGTAGGTACTTTTTTATTTACTGAAATTTTCGGAAAAATTGATAGGCATACGCGAACTCCTGTGGTTCAGGATAAAAGGGAAGTTGACAGGTTGATGTCTTGCGTATGCACGGGCAATAATTATAGATATCTAATAATTCAATTCATTTATTGACAACACCATCATACATTGGCACATAGTCATGAATACAACAATTAACATACATAAAATAAATATCCAAGTAAGCATATTATAAGTTTGTTGAAGGGTTTCCTTCCTAATACCTGGTGTCAAATTAAGCACATTTTTTTTTAAAGTTACATACTCTTCAAGTAATTTTAATACTTGTAGACTGCAACATGTCACAATATCAAAAGCAGGGGTAAGAGTCCGAGGAGTCTCGGATTACTGCCGATCGATCACACCCGCCGTGTGCTTCTTGTCATGATCGAGAAATATCGGAAGAATCCGTCCACAATTCAATGCGTATAAGTATTGTGGAAAACGTCAGTCTGACAGCATTTGATTCGATGATAAATTGTGTTTGCCGACAAGGTCATTGTATCGGCCATAGCACTCATGAAATAATGACGTTGAACAAGACTATTGATATTCCTGTTTCATTAACTTGTTTGTCAATAATTTACTAGCACATCGTTTTAGAAAATGTATTTACATACACCATGCTCCTGTGTATCAAATCTTGCTGCATAAGTATGGGAAGTTGACGATTGAAAAGTTTTGAAAGTCATCACGTTTATCATAAGCTTGGTTGTTAGTTTAACATTAACGTCTTTTCAAGTAAAATATATCCAAATATGAAACAGATGTGTCAGACTATGTGGTATCTTTTGTTTTATCTAAAGCTCACCGGGATTTATCGTATCGATATAAAAATGGAAATAACCATTGCTAATTGACATTTACGTCCACAATGTCGAGTTGGAGGCCAAAGCAATTTTTTTTTCTTTTAATATATAAGATTTTGGACAAATTCTGCTTCATGTGAATACAAAATGCGTCTGCCATTAGTGAAATTGGTAGCCATGAGAATTCAATAGATTATTGAAAGACCTGGTCTCCAAAAATAAAAACCACATAGATACTGTCAATCAGAAACCCAAGCATCTTTTTGATGCAGAGTACTTGTGTGTGCAATCAGAATGTTTTTTTAACAAAATAATTTTGCAAATGTCCAATGACAAGGAAGGTATAATTGAAGAGTTCCATTTTTATTAAAGAAGCAGCTATTCTTGACTTGAAATTGATTTTTTTTTTTTGGTTGTACTTTACAGAAAAAAGCCATTTAAATTTGACGTTAATGATAAACTAACAACAAAGCTTTATGATGAACGTGTAGACTTTTAACGTTTAGATCAACTTCGATTCTATACGCAATTTCTAAAACGGGGTAAGTTATTGATAAACGTTGATGAAACAAGCTAGAATATCAACAGTTTTGTATAAAGTCATCATTTCATTAGTTCTATAGTCGATACAATGACCTTTTCAGCAAATACAATCTATCATGAAGTTAGACGCTGACTGACGTTTTTCATGCAAATTATTTACACACCGAATTGTCGACAAGTTTCCGTTATTTCCCAATTATGACAAGGAACACAACAAGAATCACATGGTGGGTGTGACCAGAGTCACCAGACGGTAGGGTGATGCTCACTACTGGCTCCTTGGTACTTGATTAAACTACTGATGTTTAAGAGGTCCTCGTTTGCTCTGCTCCTGATTTTTATTGTTTAATGGACTTTTGACTTGAATACCGTTCGTTATTTCCATATATGTCATGAAATACCAAGAACTTTGAGCATTTTGCTAACTTTATTCAAATCATTTAAACAATACAAAAATGGTCATGAAAATCAATTCATTATTTCAATATTAAGGAGATTGATAAGCATGCAAAAAAAAAAAAGAAAATTAGATTATTCACAAATTTTTGTACTAATTCAAAAGTAATGTTTCTCTTTAAAAGTAACTGTATTCATTCAAGTTTATTTGACAAGATTTTTAAACACGAAAGTATTCCTTAATATATTTTATTAATTCATTTTATTTCTATTCTAAGCGACAGTAATGAGGATTGTAATTAATTTGTGGTCAATTGGACTAACAATTTAAACGGTCTTTTTGAGTTCTCCCACTCTAGCGTACGTGATGTCACGCAGATCCTCCTCCTGGGGATATAAACTTATCCTGCCGTCTGACGCTGATGCTGATGGAATTCCATATCCCTTTCTTTCTTTGGCGTACTTCTTTAAAAAGTCCATGGTTGTATCATACCCTCTCTAAAAGAAGTACATACATGTAAATACTAGTATTTGAGCTTGATTACAGTTCGTTGTCTTTGTTATTTCACCTCTGTCCCCTTTCTTGATATAAGCCAGCCTGTTGATTTTATAATAAACTGCATACCCGTATAATGAAATTTTCTAGTCGTCTTTATTTTTTTTAATTAAATATAATGGAGCTTAGTCCTATTTCTTTATATTAGTTGAGAAGATGTCTAATGTCGTGTGCTTAAATTTAAATAATAAAATCTTTTTTCTAACGTTTGTTACAACGCACTTTGAAAAATTACGCACTTTGAAAAAATTTTTCAAAGTGCTATATAAAATTTGGGACCAAGCTAACGCACTTTGAAAATTCTTGCTTTTTTTTCAAAGTGCGTTAATATCGACCATATTAACGCACTTTGAAAAAAAAATGTAAAGATTGATCAATATCCCTTCAAATAATCGGTATGATAAAAAACAGATTCTGGTTTGATAATTTTTTCATGATAAAGTCACAGTAGGACCTGAGATATTGACGTTTTAAATATTTAAGGTTTTGATAAAATGAAAGGGAAAATTAAAGGGTCTTGAAAAAAAGAGTGACGATTGTTTAAGTTCATTAATTCGTTTCTTCTTTTTGTTTTAATTCTAATCTTTGATAAGTAGAAGTAAAGGTGTATAGGGGGCACTAACAGAGGACAACTTCAAGCAACTTAGCATTTATCATAATAAAAAGGGGCCAATTTGATTGTTCAAAACTATGAAAATTCTTTCTCTCTCATACGTTTTACTGTACTTAAAAATTTCTTGTTTTCATCTGTTTTAATTAACTCATTTATTATTGAAAGTTTTCAACGTCATACCAGTTAGGTAAATACATAATTATATGAATGCTATGAGTATAGCATAGACATCGAGACTGGACGAAGGGCCAGGGGAGGGGATGGGGGGCTAAGCCCCCCACTTATTTTGGAAAGATATATACATCGTATAAGCATTGAAAATGCAGCGTACCCTTTTTAGGTTTATTGCTCCCCTCCCCCGTTTGTTACCGACACCTATGTATTGGAAAGATAAAGACTTGGACTGAGATATCTTATACCCGTCTTCTCTTCTTTCCACAGGAGTAAATCAATTCATTTTTGTGGTTAGGGTTAGGCTTAGTTTTTTGAAAGATAAATAAGTAAAATAACAAATAAAATCTTTCCATGACTAAAATATTATTTTTTTTCATTTTTATATTTTGCGTAATTTACATTCTGAGCATGTGAGTCTGATCCCCTCTTTTGTATGTGAAATTTATTGCCTTTGATTTCGTCATTTTAATAAATGACATTATTCATCTCTAAGAGCGATTTTTAGTCAACTTTATATATAGTTAGCAAAAACTAGCTGCGGTGAGCCTGATGAGCATTGGAAGACATAAATATTATTTTTTTTCAAAGTGCGTTAAGTGTCTCCATGGTAAAATATATTGATGCAGAATCTTAACGCACTTTGAAAAAATTTTTCAAAGTGCGTTGAGTTGGTCCCAAATTTAACGCACTTTGAAAAATTTTTTCAAAGTGCGTTGATAATGTCCCAATTTTAACGCACTTTGAAAAATTTTTTCAAAGTGCGTAATTTTTTCAAAGTGCGTTGCCACAAACGTTATATTGATTGCGTTTGTGTTTATTGTTGTGTATTAGATATTTATCCCTGCATAATAAATCTTCGTCCTCTTTCTCTTTATATAGTTTAGATGTCGTCTATTTATTCTTGCTTTCTGATATTATTGAGAATGTTTCTATATGCTGTCTTTTCATACCTGAATAATGAAATCTTTGTCTTCTTCTTCGATATCCATTGAGAATGTTTCTATATGCTTTGTATTTATTCCCACAGTCCTGTCAAGATCTCCTTTCTACAATAGACCAATGTGTCAATTTCTTTTTCATAGAAAAAAAAACAAACAACATATAATTAGGTAGAAGAATATTATCAGCACAAATATTGTACGACCTTTGGTTGTGCATGCATGTATAATAACTGAATTCCAAGACGCATGCATTCAAAATCTGCATATAAAATCTAAATTGGTTTTTAAGATCAAAAGCTTTTGTAATTTGCATTTGTATTGACTATGTATTTTATTAATACCTTTAAGTAGACTCTGTCGATCGTTCTACTCATGGTCCCAAGTACAGAGGAACCAAATGATAACACTCCGTCTATGTCGTTTGCCTTGCCTAGAAACTTTCCATGAAGTATATCATACCCTATCCCTTCTAAGAACTTAACAAACTTCTCGTTAGTCTGGAGAAATAAGTGTACATTACATACTGATAGAAATATATTTGATCAGATTATAACATGTACAATTGCTTGTTTTCTATTCATTGTATGTATGTTCATTTAAGAAATAAATAAACTTCAATGGGAATTGAACTGGGTCGGTCACGTGATCAAATCCTTCGGCCTTCACAGGATTTGATCACGTGACCGACCCACTTCAATTCCCATTGAAGTTTATAAACTTGTTATTTATTACTTATATATACATTTGAGACAGACGATTGAATACTTTCAAATTTGAATTATTGCACTAACCGTCCGTCGTAGATTTTGAAAAATGACGCAAGGTGTAAATCGGCTTGCATGGCGGTTACGCTTCGAATTCATTAGGCTAAGGAATCTATTTCGAAGGGAATATTTTGTGAAAGGCTACTTGTGATCAGTAATAGTGAACATAATGTTGTCTTGGAATATTTTATTCGTGAAAAATGATAATCGATCCTGAAAAGACACAAGAAACACGTCCGAAGTTTGATGATAAGAGGTTGGAGGAATTTCGGTCGCTGGAAAGGGATGGATGGATCCGATGGATTGAGACACTTGTCCGAGCCATTTAATTTGCAGTTTGATCAAAAACTTTCCACGGTTTCAGTATCTAAAGGCATACTTATAGTAAAACACTGATAAACACGGAGACAATGGCGACAGCTTTACATTGAACTACGAAAACGCCGAGGTGTTTGGCAGCTGTTCATGGCATGATTGCAAATATGTTTTCCAACAGATTTGCACATTTATCGTGAGTAAAATTTAAAGATAAAATAAAAGTTTATCATGAAAATTTAACCAAAGGTCTTTCCAAAAAATAAGGATGAACGTTAGAGACTGTGCAGCTGACAAAAGTGAAGAAAAATGTAAACAAACGCTAGGCTCCTAGTTTTCTCTATGTACACGGGTTGAATCGATAGCCCCAAAACTGTATGAAATACTTGTTTACATTTAAAATAAAATAATTATCATTATACTTGCTTCTTTTATTCATTTTTGTACATGAAAAGCAAGTAGAGCTGGTCATTTTATAATTTATTTATCGGTAGATATTATTGCGCCGTGTGATTAGGTCACGTATTGACCTCTGACCTCTGACAAACTTCATACAGAATTGAAGATATTTTTTCTCTGTATGTTTATATAATGGAGAGATACCACAAATGTATATTTAAGTTTGTATTTTCACGTGGAGACGAGACGTTCCTCAAATATCTGTTGTATATATCTTCGTAAATGCCCGGTACTTAATTTTTTTTAATGACTTATGATTTATAAACTGGTTTCGTATCGTCTGTCCTAATTTGCTTTAACTGATATTTAACTGAGTCATTGAAATTCTATAACGGTACCACCAAAGTAAATTATAAAAAAATCTCATTATATTATAGGACGCACAGATCACAGCGGGTCTATCACAACCTTGATTTTCCTAGGCATGAGTTCATAATTTTTTAATATTATCGTCATTTCCTTTCCGGAATTTTTAGTAATTATCAACTTTTCATTTCCGACATTTTTTAGTTTTCATTTCCGACACTTTTCAGATAGTACCATTAGATACAGATTTGAAGACTTTACCTATGAAAAATGTAAAGGAATACAAATCATGAAAAAATCATTGAAACCCAATTTCTAAGTTTTTGTATATTTATCAATGAAACGACTGTGAAAATGGAAAATGCAGGCAACTATCTAAATTAAAGTTCGAGTGATTGACACAATGTTAACTCTGTGCAGATGTAAAGCAGAAAAAGTTCTGTGTAGAGCAACATAATAAATGCGTTATCAAGCGGAGTAAAAACTCGAGTCGAGTACATCAAGTGTCTTGGACATAAGTTTGGTGCTGTCACCGATATTTATTTTACGATTTCGCTGTAGATATATCAATTTAGATTGCCTAATTATTTATGAACGTTTTCAGCGGTAGTGAAGTGGAAATTATAAAGACGGAAGGATGAATTGCCGTTATCTTGACTATGTGTTTGCATCCGATACATTCATTTGATATTTACAAACTTCATCAATTTGCTTTTTTTCGCTTCCTTCAAGTTCGTACATTTCCGATTTTAGTGCATATTAACCGCAAGCTAATATTCTGGCAAGTTTCTTAAATACTGGACATGCAAACAAAAAGATTTTGCATACTAGTATTAGGTTCCCCTACATATCTTTTTTTCCCTTTGGTATTTAATATACATGTTCATTTAAAGAAAATATAGCTTGATGCTTACAACGAGGCAAGAAAAAAATATAATAAACTTTAAAAACTACCCAGCCGCTGTTATGGGTATCAAATCTTTTTAAAATATCTTCAACCAACACGCCTTTTCCAAATAACGTCTCCCTATGTACTTTTGTAAACTTTTCCTACAATAGAAATAAAGAATCGGTTTATTTTATTTCATTTCATCCTAAATGTATATAATATTTTTATAGTAGCAGTACTAGTAATCATTGAAAAATAGTACCAACATTTATTCTATTTTAAAGAATAAGGAATATTTATGAAAAAATAAAATTAGAATTTTTTTAATATCAAAATGAAAATCAATTACGTATAGACATAAAACTCAATGTTTTTGCAACGTGGGAGATAATTATGGAGAACAGCAATTTTTCAGATACTTAATTAAGGACAGATGATACAAACAAACTTATGTCAAAAAAGTTGGAAATAACAACTTGGGTCATGTTTAAATGAGTAAAATGAATAATTTTTACCGAGTAGTTTTTAATTTTTTATTCAAAAATCCAAAGAAATGGGATTTGAAGTGAAAAATATTTGTATAGATTAATAAGGATGGTCTCAGAGGGGTAGACTTTTGAACATCACAGAAGGTTTACAATTTCTTTATATTCTAGAAATTTGTTATTGGGATCATTTGCAATGAAATTAGGCCAAAAAATATATACCGATCCAGGCATCCATTTTTTGTTTGTATCATCTGTCCTTAAGCAGAAATAAATCCTAGTAAAATCAGATTATCTTAAAAGACTGATACCTTGCCTATAAACATACCACTAATTATCTACATATGTATTGAACGGAACTCACGTCGTTTAGGATTTCACTTAATGTCGGTATTGGTATAGCCTCGTTTTCATTTACATTTCTCTTCCTCATAGCCTACAAGAAGAAAATACCTTTAGGCTGTGTAACACCACTGGGCGTATTCGAAAGTTAAAAGTTCACTCATCGTCAGTATATTTTATTTCCTCTATCAAACCACATGACGAACTTGTATCAACCGTCTGAAAGCTTCTTTTACACACATTTCTTCATTCTTCAACTGTTGGTTTTTCTGTGCTTTCCTAAAATGGAGATAATGAACGGTATTCAAGCTCAAAAGTCCATAAAACAATTCAAAATTGGACCAGAGCAAACACATACCTCCAAAATAAAAAGAGATAATTCGGTCCAACTGCTCATACAGATGTAAACTGAGAGAGGACTTGATAAAGGAGTAAAGAATATTTTGAAAACTAGCTCTTTTTTACAATTGAAGTAAGAACTTTTTTGTGCGCAATAGATATATATTTTTTTCAATGAATCACTGTAGCTCTCCGGTCTGTCAATATATTTTTTTTCGGAGAGCTACAGTTCTGCAGTTACTGTATATAATGACCTTACAATTATGATGAAAAGCATCAGTCAGCGTTTGACTTAATGATAAATTGTATTTCCTAACAAGGTTATTGTATCGACCATAGAACTTACGAAATGATGACTTTAAATGAAACTGCTGATATACTTGTTTCAGCAACTTCTTAGTCCATAGTTTACCTCGTCTTAGAAATTGTTCATACGTAGAACATGCTCTTGCGTATCGAATCAACTGAGAGATATAAACCACGTATGCAGGTGATGAAGGTATATCACTATATTGCTGCATAAGTATGAGAAGTTGGCGATTGAAAAGTTAAAGTCATCACGTTTATCAAAACTTGCTATATTTATAGATTCGTGTAGGTTTACATGTAGGTATCGGCTGCGCCTCGGGAAATAAACCTACTCTTGGGGAACTGGGATCTTGCCGACTCCATTTACTAGTACTTTAACTGTATATTGTCTATCTAAATTACTGAACACAGATGGTTGGTTTTCATTTTTCCCGTCAATCGCTCAGTATGTCCATAAATGAGGCAAAGAGAAATGTACTGCGACACTGTTAATATTTAACCAGGGAACAATAAAAGAAGTAAGCACGGTAACTCCCGATTCCCGCCTACAATTTACTACCATTTAATTCAATATTGATGATAATTTGGCCATAAAATCTTTGTTTAATACAAAGAACAGTTCAATTGTAATTGATTAATTATTTTAATTCCAGTGCTAAATACATGTAGTAAAATAACCCTAATTCCAGCTCTTGAAATAAGGAGAGTAGACGATACATGTATTTTCTACTGAATTCGGGCTATAAAGCATCACGAAATTTCTGAAGTAGTCTTAAAAAATGTGTATAAATTTTTCTTCGATCTTTTCTAATGTTTTATGCATATAAAACTAAGCATATATATTAGTAAAATATAAAGTTTCAGTTGTAAAGCACTTGGAAATTGCTGAAAAAATTAGCAATTTTGTCGTTTTTAGTATATGAACATATGTCCCCCCCCCCCCCCCCCCCCCCCCCCCCGAATCACAAAAACCTTTGGTATGAATTTGTGAAATGAAAGTCCATATAATACCCGTAAAAAGAAATTTTTATTTCACCGGGGGGGGGGGGTAAAATATTTTCCGTTTTCCCTTGATTTTTATATTGAAAAACGCGAGTTTTACCAAAATATTAGAGTTATCTAAAAGAAGTAAGTTTACTGAAAATCCATATATATATATATATATATATATATATATATATATATATATATATATATATATATATATATATATATATATGTCAACATGATCAATATACATGTAAATATTAAAAATCATTCGAATATCTTAACTTTTGAAAATTGACTTTGAGGTAGTCAACTATCGTTCGCAGTTCATGAGACTGAAGCAAGCCACTTACTTGCCCTCTGGAGTATCCGGATATTTGACTGCTTCGTATCCCGGATCGTGTCCGAAAAATGACTTCAACACATCATCATCAGAATCACTAAACTAAAAAAGAAAAAAATAGAATTAATACAAAGCATCAAATTAGCCGCAAAAATTAAAATTAAGCATTATAAAATTTTATAACTTTATTTGTAGTCTTGAGCGGAAAAGGCGCATGATATTTTAGGTTGTCATAAATCGAATGCAGACATGTGGCGCAGTGGTAGAGCGTCTGCTCTAGGGTCGCGGGTTCGAATCTCACTGTGGGTGGTTTAGACCGGTACTTTGGATGAGACTGGGCGAAATCCCGTGTCGAAGTATAGGTGTTGGCACAAAAATAGTACTCCTTACTCAATGGTCTTTAGAACCGAGAATTGGTCAAAAAATGTATCTCTCCGCCGCAAGCGTCTCCATATGATACATGTAGGAAAACTTCTCGAGAGAAATGTTAAACAACAATTAAACAAACAAACAATAAGAATGCGAAAATTACAGGATAAATACATGTAGAAATGGCTCTGGCTCGTCAGCTTTATAGAAAAGTTCGCGCAGAACCAGGGTCTTACTTCAAGACTATTCGTAATTGATTATAATTCAATTTTTATAACATATTAAAATTCAACAATGTTGATTATTCAACATTCGATGAAAAAACTGCTCAAAAATCCACAAAGAAGCAAGATTTATGAGGGACTATACCTTGTGGTGGAAGGTTATTTAGCAGAAAATTCTGCAAATCTGCACATTTATTAAATTGAATATCTTGGAACTTTAGTCTCACATACTTTTACCCGGGGAATATTTTCCGTTATGATATGGTACGAATATATAATAAAGGTCTCAATTTATATTTTTAAAACAAATTTTACACCTTCCCTGAACAAACTCGCCGAAAAATGAAGATATGTTAAAGAAGTCAAGATAAAATTTACACGTTTTTTTGTTTTTGTTTTTTTTTTTTTTGTTTTTTTTGCCTGAAAATCACATGGTTTGACCATTATTTCAAAATTAACATCACTGACCCCAACTTTTTCTTTCGTTATTTTAAACTACTCGATACTTTTGACTGATCAGCACTTAAGTCGTAAAAAGTTTGGTACAAGAAAATATTTTATTGCCCATTTAGATTTTTAATAATACCCCAAATATATTACTTTTTCGTGCAAAAAGGTCACACAATAATTTAGCGCATTAATTTGCAAGATTTCTTCAATGGCAAATATTATTCAAACTATTTTACGTAAAATAAGATGATATTTTTTGCCATTGTTACATCTAAAATATAATAAAGGTTAAAGTAATTTATCAAAAAGTTAAAAAAAAATTAAGTGCAAATTTAAGTGCAAAAAGGCCAACTTAATTGTACTGTAGCTCATTAAGATGCACACTGACCCCTCTACTTTCTCTGCAATTTTGAGTCATAGTTTATGAGTACTTATCCAAAATATACTTCTCAAAAAATCCTTGATTTAACATTTCACGAGTGACATACCTTATTTGTCAATCGATAAAAATGAAAAAAAAGGCATACTGTATGTAATACCGGTATGCCATCAAATGATATGGTATATTGTGATTTTCTAACCACTTGTTGGATTCAAAAATAACAATATGACACAATTTATAATTATTACATATCTTTAAAAATGTCTTAACTAATAGTTCAAACCTATAATGAGTGATCTTTTGCATTATGTCAAAATTCCAGTTTAATCTAGTATGTCTTGTTTTGTAAGATAAAAATTGCTGGACAATAGTATACCACTACAAATCCTAATGTTTTGTTTCTATCTTCGTCTCGTAATCTGAATCTGTCCGTTTTTCCGACAAAGGGAGTATCAAAGAATTCTTGCAACTTGTTGAAAAAAGTGTCTTCTTTTTCCATCGACAACCACCACCCTAAAAATGAAAATAGATTTATTTTACTCTATTAAATAGCAGTATTATCAAGATATAGTCTAATGATGTGACAAACGTAACGAAGCGCTTGACCATGTCAAATTTCAAATGCTAGGAATAAAGGAGATGGTTGCATGGCATTTTAAAAGTTTTAACAAAGCAGTGAAAAGGGATGAGAACATATGAACAAAAATGAGAGAGAGAGAGATCACCAAAGGTTAAAAGTATAAAGACTTAACATACCATCATAGCAGTGAAGTGGATAATTGGATATAATGCCACCGTCAGCCATGTAGCTCTCCACTCCGTTTTGTTTGTAAATCACAGGTTTAAAAAATCCTATAAAAATGTACACAAATTAATCTTAAGTTAATTTCGTAACAAATACCTGCATATTGCATAACAGCTAAGCAAAATCTTAAAATCAGAAGTGGGATCAGGTGCCATGGCGGAGTGGGCATATCCTGCCGACCGGTCACACCCGCCGTGTGCTCATTGTCATGATCGGGAAATAACGGGAAAATTCCGTCGACAATTCAGTGTATAAATAATGCACTAACAATTAGTGTGAAAAACGTCTGTATTTGACTCAATGATAAATTGTATTTGCTGACAAGGTCATTGTATGGACCAAAGAATTTACGAAATGATGACTTTAAACGAGACTGCTGATATCCTTGTTTCATCAACTTGTTTGTCAACAACTTACTTCCTTTTAGAAATCATTCATACGTAGAACATGCTCTTGCGTATCGAGTCAACTGAGATATAAAAACTCCATATGCAGGCGACGAAGGTAATTTCAAGAAATAATTAGCCTATAACCTACCGGTTTAGGTTTGTTTCACAATACCTCTTAACTAACCTATTAAACTTAGATACTATATACAGGACATAGTTGCATTGCATTTACTTACCTGGGTAGCTATTCGACATACGCACGGCATCTCTGATAGGAACGTTTGGTGTTGTTTTTACATGCATATATTCCTCCTCCTTGTTGCTGATATTGGTAATGACAACGCAGAGTTCTTTCTTTTTCTTCATAAACAACTACAGGCAAAAATACTTTAAGCATATAACTTAAAATACAATTGCGAAATTTATTGTTTGCAATATTTTCCAGAAATTATTTGTTACGATTACATTATTCGCTGTAAATCTTTGCACATTGATTAAATTAGCTTCCATAACATAACTTTTACGTTACCTCAGTAACCTCACATTACTGAGATTTTACTTTGGAAGCATCTTGTACAGCAATTAAATCGTTCTGTTATTGCAGCCCGGAGGACCGGGCTGCTCTATACATACAAGTTTAAGTGTTGGTATGTGGGGATTGAGGTGGGAGAAGTTATTCAGAATTAAAGGTTTTCTAAACATCAAAAAGATTGTTAATCAGAATGTTTTTCCATTTATAAATAACGATATACACAATATATTTACTTCCATAAAGTGAATCTGTAAAAATATATATGTTTTTCATATTTAATATATAAAGTTGCGTATCATTTACTATCAAAAAACGACAGGTTCCTTTTTTTTTTTTTTTGTTAGAATATCGAATTTTACTTATCGCATAAAAACGTACTTTACACAGTTCGTGTTTTATATTCTTAAAGTTATATACATTTTTGAAAATAGGTGATGCATGTGTCTGGTTTCAAGTTATATATTATGCAGCCAACATTTACTTGAGGAATTAAACGGTATCTTTTTTGTTCGATTTTCATCCGACTATAAGTTTTCAAAATATTCTCGACTATCGTATCATCATTTACACGTATGTCTTTTATATATATATCGAAGTGGTTTGATGAACAAGACTCATTTCCATTGTTTACTTTATTTATTTCCCGAGCGACAATTGATGGTTACATCAATGTTTTCTTGTTTATAAAAGAAACAAGATTTCTCACGTCTAAGAATGTAGCGTCCTTGTCCCCCAATTTTTCTTCAATAATTTTTCCGTAAAAGTTGTATTCATTTTCAAAAGGCTGCCATCCATACTGCGACAGAATATTACAGGGCATGCAGCATCGAGGGGACTCTAAAAATAATAAATAAATAAAAATATATCTATCAATTTTCGTATTATTATATCCGAACAATTTAAATATACAACAGTCGGATTAGATTTAATTTCTCTAATGCATTCATGTTTATGGAAATATTGGCTCACTTCTTTAAAATATTTATGTGTGAAATGTTAAAAAATTATTGACCATAATGAAAGGTTGGATCTCTCCGAATCATCTTTTCCATTTCTTCTACGGAACATTCCAAGGCTAAAAGCATTGCAACAAAAGAGCCCGCGCTTACTCCAGCAAATCTTTCAAGTTGCATCAAAATGTTTGCGTCATCCAACGCCTAAATATAAATTATTGATAATGAAAATTATTGTTGTTATTTACATATAATAATATTATAAAGTATATACGAGGGTTGATGGGTAATGAAATACAAGGGGTTGATCCAAAAGTTCGTGGAATTTCTTTCTAAATTTATCGTGTTTTGATGAAATCAAACAATAAGCACATTTATACTAGTAATATAGAGTCATAATGCAACAATACTGGAAAATTTCACCACGTTCCAATCACCTGGCCACACGAACTTTCTGAACATGGATAGTTGATTCGTCGAAAACCACGACCAAAGTGTACTATCTTCTCCCATTCTGAGAGAGCTATACGCGGACTCCGGACCGTGGCTTTAGACGATGGGACAGTTGTAAAACCCAGGGAAACCGACGTAACGTCAAGGTAGAACACAATAGATAGACCAAATTTTTCCTCAAATTCAATTTTTCTGAAACTTTGATATTTTGTTCTAGGATACAAAATCTCTCTTTATATATGATAAGAAAGAAATTCAAGCACTCATTTTTTGCCCACTTAGTCTGAAATATGGCCTATCAGATCTTTGAAGAAGACTGTGAAACTATGATCAGACATTCGACTTAAGAATGAGCCTTATTTTAGAATTATCAATTGATCTATTGCAAATTTGTGTAATACTTTTAATAAAGATAACCTTTTTGTTACTTTGAATCAGTAATTCACATTGATACTGGAAAATTTGATTAAAATATTAAGTAAAAATAGAACATACATAGCGTCGGAATTAAAAATTCACATGTAAATATCCGACAGTTGTTTTTTTAAGAGAAAATGTATAATTCAATTTTTACAAAAAATGAACTGAATGATTCAAATGGGTCCTAGAATAAAATGTGTAAAAATAAAGAAAATTGAACCAGTGGTTTCAGATATTTTGGCGATTAAAAAAATTTCAATGGCAAAAAAACTAAAAGATTCAGTAGATGACGTCACAATATTTGTCCTTTGACCTCATAAAGAATGAAGACTCCTTATATATGTGTCCAAATATCAGCCCTCTATTATTTATGGAACAAAAGTTACACTGCATTTTATAACAGACTGTTACTTGCTTGTTGCACTTACATGTAGATAGCGTACCGGTAATTACATTACAGAATGTAAGCTCCCAAGGGACCAATATATAGGATTCTCTGATTTTTTTTCCCCACAAAATATGACGCAAACATGCCAAAACTTATTATTTTTCTTACAGGGATAAGTATGTCACGTCACGTGATAAGCGCATCACACCATGTCTAATTCGACTTAGTAATTCTACAGAACGTTGCCTTTTCCTCCATTTTTTTTTTCTCAAGAAAAACCAGGGTACACCGACTTTATTTTCATATTACACCATATTTCAAAAAATATCCTATTTTTCAATATGATGTTTCAATATCAGTAGCAGCGTCAAGCACAGTACATTAGCAGTCATGTACATTCAAGCTAAATTTGTCTACAAGGAAAAATAGACCCTCCAAAGGGACCACAACTTTAATCAACCTCCATGGAAGTTCTATATTTTTCTTAAATTTCCCACGCCACTTTAAAACCAGTTACTTAATAATGCATTTTTCTCCAGCCTGCAACTATAGTATACACGTTTAAGTCAGTGTTCTCGAGATTTTCACAAAATTTTATGAATTGGCCAAAATTTTACACCGTCTAACAATTTAAAAATGAACACTAAATCATCAAATAATAAACTAAATATCCAGTTATTATAACTCAGTAAAACTCTCAAACAACGGTTTATATGATGTCAAGTAATCACAATAACGACATAATTTTCGTTTAATAAGCTAATTAGTCCGGGTTTTTTTTTTTCAATTCACGTATTAAGAATTAAAAATGTAATAAACAAGTAAATATCTCCGCATTTTCAAGCATCTATTTCCATGGCAACTGTCATAGAGTTACCATCATAAATATTTTCTTTTTAAATTATTTTAAAAAATTCAATAAGTGTCTAAATTCTCATTTGTAATTTTAAACCACTTTCACTTCCAAATAAATAAAATATGAAGAAATTCCACGAACTTTTGGATCAACCCTTGGATATGGAGAAAACGAATGTGGTATTCAAGCTTAAAAGTCATTCAACAAAACATAATAGGGGGAGAGCAAACACGGACCTCCAAATCATCAGAGGTGAGATCAGGTAAAATGTACAGGCACCTGACCTGATACTTATTTTTCTTTTAATAAAAAAAATATACCTCCTCCCTAACAATAAACGTTTATTATTAGGTAGGGGTTATTTTTCCTTTTATTAAAAGAAAAATAAGGAACGTCAGGTACCTGTGTTTTTCACTTGTGTTTTTCAACAAATAAACTGTGTTGAGGAAAGATAAGCGGGTCTTCTGCAATTTACGTCTAATATTCGCCCCAAAGTATTTCTTCTGAACTTATCTATGCAGTCGAAATAGAGAAAATAAGGAGACATCAGAAAGTTTTGAAGAAATTTAAAAAATAAATTCACAGGGCTGAACTATCCCCTTCGCTCTGTGGCCGATAAGTCATTGTAGCTACAGACGCTTTATCCCTAAAACACAGGATGATTTTGTAATGTCGGGTTTCAGGGAATGTGTCAGTGCCTTTTTAACCATCCCTTTAAAAAGTATTCTAAGGCGTTAATGTCATGCATGGGTACAAAGACTTATGACATCCAAAACAATTAACGGAAAATACTTTGGAGTTAAAATATTACATGTTTATAAACTAACTCTCCTGATTTTCAGACTTTCAGATTTGCATTCAACGAAAAACTAGTGGAAAATCCAAAAAAAAATAAGTATTGAGGAATATTAAAAACTTAAATTACTGATAGAGTTAGAGTTGAAATGTTTTTACTGTTTAAAAGATTGTAAATTGATGAATTTACAATACACTGGCAGGAAATTGTTCAAAATTGTAAGAATTCAGAATCATTTTTATAAATATATACATGTAGTGTAAAAAAAAATCAGTACGTCCTTTCATAATATGTACATGTACCTTGATAACCCCCATATACGACATAGTTTTAACCCCTCCGCCTTCAAAAACAACATTTTCAAATGGATACTCCTCTGCTGCAGGGTTAATGTTGACGTCTGGTCTTCCTTCAGCTGAAATACAAGTCAGATATAACTATCTCAATAAAATCTTCTGTCTTCAACCCTGATTATTTAATTTAGAGCTTGATCATAAATAAATGCTAAGTAGATGACATGTCCCTAAGAATTGAAATAGTAGGGGACGTTAATAAAGTAGAAAGGACCGGGATTTGGGATTCATCTCCTAGAGATTAAAATAACATCATTATAGGCGGAGAAATTCCAACCATTGACGTGAGAGATATCTTTAAATAAAATTTGTTAGCTAGAAATATACATCAAGTGTACAGTGTATATTCCAAAGAATTCAAAGGTCGGAGTTTGTAATTGGGGTTATGATGTTAAAAAACTAAATTCTGAAACTTAGTAAACTTGCTTTGTGGCAACATGCATGATCAACCGGTAATATGGAAAAGAAGTTGACAGTGTGAGAAGTTTTAACACAACAGAAAAGCTTAATTCAGCCTTTGGCTTAGATGAAATAAAACTAATTATTAGTTATTTTTTAGATCTATATCTGTAGACTTTAATCCTCGTTGACAAATTTTGCAATAAACAAAATGTGTTTGTGGAACATTGATGCCCCCCCCGTATGGCAGCTTTAAGCGAGGGTTGAAGTCACAAGCCAGAACGTTAAAACTGTTGGTATCGTTTTAAGTCATCATCTCGTAAGTTCTATGGACGATACAATGACCTTGTCAGCAAATACAATTCATCATTAAGTCAAATGCTGATTGACGTTTTTCATACTAATTGTTAGTCGATTATTTACACCATGAATTGACGACGGAATTTCCGTTATTTCCCGATCATGACAAGGAGCACACGGCGGGTGTGACCGGTCGGCAGGAGATGCTCACTCCTCCATGACACCTGATCAAACCTCTGATGTTTCATCTTCGCTAGCCAAGGGTTTCTGATACGCTACTCTCCTCAGCTGATGTTTCGGAGATACGTGTTTGCTCTGCTCCTATTTTGTATTGTTTTATGAACATTTTAGTTTGAATATTGTTTGTTATCTCCATACATTTCATCAAAAGGAATGTTTTATAACAAGGATTACACCTGTGAAATATCAAAGTTCTAGTACTCTAAGACTCTAAGGTCAAGTTCAAAAATATTTATACCTATTTAAAGGTCTTTTCACAATGAATATACATGTGAGATAAAAACCCCTGGCATCAGCTGTTATGGCCAAGGTAAAAGTTTTGATATTTTTGGAAAAGTGGATCAACTTCAAGATCAAGGTCAAGAGGTCAAATGTGGTGACAGTACCCTCTGAAAGGTCTTATCACAATGAATATATCTGTGAAATATGAAAGTCATAGTCCCACCCACTGAAAAGTCATGGGCAAGATAAAAGTTTTTGTGGACAAACAGACAGACAGGGTACGGACAAGTCAAAATCTGTATACCCCTGAATCTTCGATTACGGGGGCATAAATATATGAAAATAACGAAATTAAAGCATTTAAGCGCAAAATGTCAATTCAAACAATACCTACCAAGAGTAGAGCAACACGGGACTCAAAAACATCAGAGGTAAGATCAGATGGTATAAAGGAGTGAACATCCCCTGCTTTCCGTGTGTTCGTTGTCAACATCGGGAAAACAACGGGAAAATCCGTCGATAATACATTCGGTGTGTAAATGAAGGTCTAATTAGTATGAAAAAAGTCAGTCAGTATATTTTACTTAATGATTGATTGTATTTGCTGACAAGGTCATTGGATCGACTTTATATAGAACTTACGAAATGATGATTTTTATAAACGACACTGTTGTTATTCTTGTTTCATCAACTTGTTTGTCAATAAATTGCCTCGTTTTAGAAATTGCTCATACGTGCTCTTGCGTATAGAATCAACCGAGATATATAATTCCCATAAATGCGTGTATTAAAAATATAATTGTTCAAAAGATCATAAACAAGAGGGCAAATAATTAAAATAAGAAAATAATAACTAGAAAAATTGTTTCTTGATTACTGTAGTTGGTTTATATGCGACAAAGTTTTGTTGTAAACACACCCTATAGTATTATCGTACCTGCAACACAATCAATGCCATCCCCGAAGCCTCTCTCCGCTCTCTTTAGGGAATGTTTTACATAGCGGGATCTCTCGTCGGAAAACTCACAGACTGATTGAGACCCTCCCATTTTCCTCAGAGATTAACGTCACACAATAACATCAGATCATTCTTGGAGATGTGTCTCCATGCCTTGGACCTTTTCAGATGTTCTAGTCTATCCTGAATAATAATGGGTGTCGTTATTTACATGAATTCAAGAGCCGTGATTTGAAAATCCATATATAAGGATATTGTAAGTCTTATATATAAACGGATGTAGCATGTCCTCGCATCCTTGAATGATATTCAGTGATTTAAAGTTCAGGCAATATATGAATATTACATGTATAGATGACGGAAACTAACATTGAATTTTTCATCAAAAGAAAATCATCGTCAAGCAATGTAATGTTTGACTTTTGTTGATCAGCATTATTTTAGATGAATATTTTCCCCCTTTTTTATGTGATGATTGGTTATGATCAAATTTTGACCTTGGCAGTTGGGGCTTGGGCATATACCTCAAATGATATTTTTAGGGGTTACGTACATGTATCTTGTTCGCGTATTAAGTTAGAGCTATATAACGTTTTATGGCGTATTTGAGCTATAAGAAAAAGGTTGTGTTATAATATGTTACATCAGGGTTCCTTTTTGTTCCTGGTGGAGCATAGTGTAGATTAATTTACATGATATTTGTTATTTATGTCCAAATTGAATTTTTCAACGATTTTGAACTTAAATATCCCCTCGTTTTTTTAATTAATTTTTTTATTGTGTGGACCTGTAATTTTTATCCGAGTCGATAAACATACTCAGTATAATTAAGAAAATTTAAGCGTAAAAATTTCCAAAACTCTATTCTAAATCAACTTTAAGCACTTCAAAATAAACAACCAAAACAATATTGGAAATTAATCAATGACCTAAAGGATGATAATAAAGATAATTCTGCAGCAAACATAGATCCTGAAACATGGGTTAATCATTTTCGCAATCTTCACTCTGTGTGTGATAACTCTTAATTTTATGATACAAGAGCTAGATTTAATTTTGGCTGACATGGAGAATAAACCATCCTTTAATGAATTGGATTACATGATTACAAATAAAGAAATAGTTGATGCAATAGCAAATTTAAAAAAAAACATGGAAAAGTCAAGGGACTTGATTTGATATCTAATGAAATGTTAAAACATAGTCAATCTTATTTACTTTCCTGTATACGTAAACTTTCTAATAGCTGTTTCACATATGGTTTTTATCCTCAGGCTTGGTGTAATGGGCACATATATCATGTAGTAAATTTTGAATTTACTAGGGAGAGGTAAATGTAAATTATGCATTTACCCCCCTCCCCCTAGAAAATTCAAAATTTACAGCATGATACATAAGTCCAATTTTTAAGTCTGATGATCCAAACAATCCTTCATATTATAGGGGTATTACAATTACCAGCACTCTTGGAAAGTTATTTAACGGTGTTTTGAACTTTAGACTAGATAAATTTCTTTAAGAACATAATTTAATTCACCAATCTCAAATGGGTTTTACAAAAAATGCAAGAACATCTGATCATCTATTTGTTCTAAAATGTCTAATTGATAAATACTGTAGCACAAATGAAGGAAGACTCTATGCATGTTTTGTTGACTTTCATAAAGCTTTTGACAGTGTTAAACATATAGGATTAAAGCTAAAATTACTTCACATGAATCATGGATCTAAATATTATGATATCATTTAATAATATATAATAAGATTAGTCAAGCATGTGTGAAAATTGGAAGATTCTTCTCAGATCCATTTCAAATAGCTACAGGCGTTCGTCAAGGGGATAATTTGAGCCCCTCCCTATTTAAAATATTTATAAATGATTTTTCAGCATATTTAGATTCATGTATTGATGAAGTATCGCTTCACACACAAACTGTTAATTGTTTTATGTATGCAGATGACATTGCTATTTTACAGACTGTTAATTGTTTAAAGCAATATGAGCTGCATGTTTGACATCGGAAAAAAAAATTTGCAAATTTGTAATTAACTATTTCAATGACAGAATAATAGAACATTTATAAACTTCTGTTGTTCATATTTGCTATGGAAAAACTTTTTATAAGCTTTGATTGAAGCAAAATTGAATTATTGTCGTCCTGTATAATAATGATTTCTTATATAATACTGTGTATTCGGTTGTACAGAAATATTTCTTCTGAAACATTTTTAAACTTTATTTTGGTCTTGTTAAATATCAGATCATTAAAAGCATATTATAAGTTAAGAAAGGATTTCATTGATTTGAACCCTGAGATTAAAACCAGTATACATGTATTTGACTCTACCATTAAACCAATTCTGCAGAGGTATGGGGTGCAAGTAATATAAATACTAAAAGATTCCTAAACTGCCAAAATTTAGCAGTTGAAGACTGCTTTAAAAATCTACCCAGTGAAAGAATAAATTCTGTAAATATATTCTCTGTGTTCATAAGAAAAGCACAAATTGTGCAGTATTGTCTGAATTGGGAAGGTTCCCCCTGCATTATGATATTGTCAGGTTGTTGATTAAAATTTGGTATGGATTTGAAAATTTGTCCATAGAATTTCCTTTACTTAAGGATGCATATGAATGTAGTAAAAAACTTTTTGTGAATGGCAAGAGCTCATGGTTTGCATTTATACAGAAATTAAGAAAAATACTAAAAGATGAGGTTATTTGTTATGGGAAATATAAATTTAAGTCATTCTGTCATAAAACTTTATTAGATTATTATGTGAAAAAATGGTATACAAGTCAACAAAGTTATGCTGATGGCAAATTAACCACATATGTGAAACTCAAACAAAATCGAGGTTGTGAGAATTATTAATCAGTTGTTAAAAATTTTCATCACAGAAAATATCTACGTAAATTAAGAATTTCCTGTCACAGATTACAAACTGAAGTGGGAAGATTTACCAATATTCCCCGAGAAGATCGATTATGTAATAGATGTAATTCTAACAGCATAGATGATGAAGCTCATTTTTAATAACATGTAAAAAAGAAGATGGGGGATAAGGCAGTCAGAATGCCTATAGCGACAGATATTAAGAAATCATATTTAATAGGTGTATTGAGTATTTAAATTTACCTCTCATTGTTGAAATTTATGAAATTATGAGAAAAAAAAACATTTCCTGAGAGAAAATAAATGTCTTTAAAAAATTTCAGTTATAAAAATATTAGATCGAACCCCCAGCAATAAAATACCGAAGTATCATACTGCTTTGAGACTAACGCGCTAACCACTATGCTACATGCATGGCTCATGATAATTAGGAGCATTTAAATTGTGTTTGTGATATGACCCTTGACTTATGGACTTGAAGTATTTCTCGGAAAGAATTAGATGCGAATGTTTTGTCATAAAAGTGTACTTTTAAGGTATAGTGGGTCTTCTCTCCATTTTTTGTAAACCAAAAAATATTTATTTTATCGCAAACTTTTAGGATTATCTTTCAAAAAAATGGAGCGAAGACCCACTCATATTTAAACAATTTTGTTAAAGTATGAAAAAATAATCGTTTTTGTTCTTTTAAGAACAGATGATATAAACAAACTTTTGTCAAAGAATTTGAAACTAACAACTCGGGTCATGTTTAAATGAATAAAATGAATATCTTTCACCGCCTAGTTTTAATTTTTTATTCAAATTTGCACAAAAATGGAATTTAAAGTGAAAAATATTTGTATAGATTAATAAGGATGGTTTCAGAGGGGCAGACTTTTGAACATCACAGAAGGTTAAAATGTCTTTATATTCTAGAAATTTATTATTTGCATCATTTGCAATGGAATTAGGCCAAAATATATACCAATCCAGCATCCATTTTTTGTTTGTTTCATCTGTCCTTAAGTCTGTGTATGCTTTTTCATAGTATAGGCAAATGTTTTCAGACTTTGTGAGATTTTTGTAAATTATAGAGATTTTACATTAAATATACTTTAATATTAGATGAAATATGAAATAAAATTTTGATATAATTGAGATTAAATTTTCCACTTCTTATCTGTCGCGCTATAGACATTCTGCCGCCTTATTCCCCCATCTTCTTTGATCATCAAAGAAAAGAAATATTTCAGTTAATTGATAATAAATTTCCACAATTCTCAGCTTTAGATGATGAACAAAAATTTATTGATTACTCAATACAGAAGATAAGGAAACTCTTATATTTTGTAGGCACATTTATAAATGATAACATATGTTATAGTAGTATTGGTCTTTTACACATACATGTATGCATATTGTTGTATTCCTTTTAATTGAAATAGGATTATGTCAATTACTAACTGTATAATTGTTTTGCTATTCATTAGCTTCACTTTTCCTTATTATTGTAATAATCTCATACTTGTCTGTTATGGGCTCTAAATTAGAAATAAAATGTTCTGTTCTGTTCTGTTCTATATGGCAAGAAATTAGTGCTGACTTTCACCTATGTTCATTTGTAACCGGCAACACAGGTTACATAACTTTTTCACCGGGGAGCTAATAATTTCCATTTATTCCGTTTTTAATTGGTTACAGTGGTTAGACCCCTTTTCGTTTCAGATGATCTGTAACCATTGTAACTATATGTCATCAAAGAAATATATTTGTAACCAATGCAACCTAAAAAATATTACACCCTGGTTCTTCTAGACTTTACAGACCAGCATTCTTCAATTTAGAGATAAATATGTAACCTATGTTACTGGATGAAATAGTCTTGTAACAGGGTTACAAATGAACATAGGTAAAAGTCAGCACTATACTTTCTCAGTGGCGGATTTAAGGGGGGCGCGCCCCCTGAAATTGTCAAAATTAACGTAAATCACAGTTTGTCTAGAAAATGTAAATATGTATACTTGGTAGACCTCATTTTTAGCCTACAAAATCTATAGAATCCAGGAGCTTCCGGGGGCTTCGCCCCCTGGGTCCCCACCACGCTTTGCCCTGGACCCACTGGGGGCCTCAAGGCGGCCCCCAGACCCATTGCCTACTTTTGGCGCCCCCTCTAAGTTCAATTCCTGGATCCGCGCCTGTTTCTTGCCACACTATCGGCAAATAATCCGTTATTGTTTTAAATCTCGGATATCTACAAATTCTACATGTATGAAACGCGACTGATTTTCCAAATATATCTGTAATTCACATCTATTTCTAAAAAGGCAACCATATATAGACCACATAACTAAATACACCACCATCCCCTTGTAAAAAAAAAAAAACGATATCTAGATATTGAATAATTTACTGAAAAGCTGAAGTTTAAATGCGCACATTTAAATGATTAATTTTAAGTGTAAAGTTGGTACAAAATGATATAACCAATACACTATTTATTTTCTTTCGATTAACATTTTTTATCCCGTGGGGGGCCCCAATTACTATTAGCAACTGTCAACTAAAAACCGGAAGTGTAAAATAGCAAGTAGGGAATTCGCAATGAATTGTGGGATACAAAATTCCGTAGGAAGAAAACGCAAGACTGCTTTAAAATCAATGGAACCGATGGTTTACAATTGAACTGTCAAAAGCTTTTCTCCATAAAGACTTGCATTGGATTTTTGACGCATATCTTTCATAATGGATGCAAGAATAGTCAAGAAAACCCAGGACACTTTGGGGAAAATAATCAAGAAGCCACCACTCACTGAAAAATTGTTAAATAAACCACCGTTCCGATTTTTACATGATATAGTGACTTCGGTGAGTACAGTACATCTATTCTAAATGTTATGGTTTTGTCCTAACAAAATCTGATAAAAAATGTTCAAACATTTGTTTTGATATTTGCTTTGTGTAAAAAGGAGGGGGGTTATAATCTAGACAGTGTGTACATACTTGTATAAATGTAGATCTATACCTGATTTAGCTGCAGCACTGAAGCTCTCTGCTTGAGAAAATTTAGACAGATAAAGCAGAGAGCTACAGATCCATGCGTTGTAAAAACCTTCGATTTACGCCGCCGATCATTATACGCTCCTTTCAGGTATTATTTCTTGTAGTTTATGCTTTTCTTTGTTCGTAGAATGGTATCCGATATTTACTCATATATTTACTTCAATTATTGATACTTTATTTACCTTTCAACGTTTCGAAACAGTCCTGTCAGTCTGTGGTATTGGAATGTCAAGTTTAACATCTCTACGAGACTATGTCCACATTGACATTCACAAATGGCCCTTCTTGAACAGTTGAAAGGTAAATTAACATTTAGAAATAGGTGTGAAATGTTACTATGTATGACGAATTATCGAATATCATTTATAAAGCGAGGGAAAACATGAAATTTAAAAAATAATACCTGAAGTGAGCAACAAAAAAATTGTGGCATAAATCGAAGGTTTTTACAACACATGAATCTGTAGCTCTCTGCTTTATCTGTCCGAATTTTCTCAAGCAGAGAGCTACAGTTCTGCAGCTATACCTGATTATAACTGAATTTATAAATTAAATTTCTTTAATTATCACTGTTTTGTTTTAGGTTATTAAAACTACAGGGTTTATGAATGGACTTTTCAAAGAAGAAGAGCTAAATTCAGAAAATGTAAAGGTCGGTAAACTTACTCATACTTAGTTAGAAAACCTGCAAGGTTTCAGGTTCCTTATTTGTCATATCTGGAATCAAAGAAGAAACTCTGTGAGGGTAATTTATTGTGGTGATCAGGCAGCTTCCTTCAATGGTGAACAGTTAGCCCTGACATGATTGTTAAAACTTTTCAAATGTCAGTTTAATTGTTAAATTTTTTTTTTAAATCTCAACACCACAAGCATTTAGATGAATAGATTGCTTCAATCCAATGGACAAATTCGGACTTTTTGGGAACATAAGAAATAAAGTAGTACTTGTCAGATAAACATACCCAAAACTGACTGTGAAATACAAACAAATAAAATGAACATAATGATGTAGAATGATACTTTCTTTTTATTTCCATTTGACATCCTGTTCATATGCACATATTGTGCCATTACCATGATTACTGCCAAAATTTATTATGAAATTCCACATACTTCTCAAGATATGCTGGAATTAATTCCAAAAGTGATCCATTTTTCTCAGGTAGTTTTAGCTTGGTTTCTGATCATTTACACTTTTTTTGTAAAAGAGGATACAATCATTATAGTGATGGGAATTGGTAAGAATTTCATAATCGATGATTGGGTTACCATAAATAACTAATCATCAATTAAAATCAGCCATTCAAAACTTAAATCTATCAATTTAAACAGGTAAATTAAGATAAGAATAAATTGAGTACTTTCTGTGGCGGCCCAGCTGGTCCTCCATTTATTTTGTAAAACCCAGAGTACGCCCATACCCAGGAAAATGCTTTGTTTTCTGGGTATATAAATACATTTTCAAGTTAATTTACACCATTACGTTGCACAAATAAGTTAATGGCTATATGGAGGCTGGAAAATTTTGCTTCAAAACTATTACGCTTGTAAAATAAATTAATAAACCGATTAATCAGAATTTTAAAAATGCAATCTAGCACTTGGATTATGCCAGCAGTCGACTAATTTTCGTTTATAATCGATGACTGGAACACCACTAACAATCAGGGGCTCAAGCTAATTTCAAATAAAGAAAAATAATTGATTTCGGCATATTTTTAAGCATATGGGGTTTCTGCATGAACTTTGGTAGTAAGAATTTTAGATTATTTACACATGATTTTAAATTATTTGATTTCTAGTATTTTTGGCCAATTTAAATACCTTTATATCTGGGAAGACTATACCTTTACTTTTGTTTGATACTGCCCTTAAGCTTTATACATGTATCTGAATACAATTAAATTTCTCTAGTTGTTTCTCTTGAAATAGTTTTTCTTTATTTTTAATTACAGGATAAAGACAGTAAAATTGCTTTCCTACAGAAGGCTATAGACTTTACATGTAAGTATATATATCTTAGTTATCCTTTATTGTTACTTATGTCACAGAATTACATATACATGATATAGGCATACTCTTCAATTGGTAATCATGGTAATGAAAGTGCTGTAATTGACTGGACAATGAACTTGTAGCATATCAGTTAGATGATTTCAGTTCTATAAAAAATTATTCAGTTGCAAGTTACTAAGAATGATTCATTAATCATGTTAATATTCAAAATTTTAAGAAGTAATCAATGTGTGTAATTAGGTAACAAATTATTACTTAGGCAATTAATGATCATTATGCATTAAAAACAAACTTTTTAGAGTTAAATTAATTTCTAAAATAAAAAAATGTTTAATTTCTACATTTTCTAGTAAAATAATCATAGAGTTCAAGCTTCTACACTTCGAGCATGACATATTTCTCCATTTACTCATGTACCATACATTATGATACATGTATAAACATGATACATATATATGGGAAAAAACACAGGGGCTGGTAACATACATGTACTGTACCGGGGGGGGGGGGGGGGGGGGGGGGATTTGATTTTACGTAATCACTATATGTATACAAAAAGGTACGTATATTGATTACGTAAAATCAAATACAGTATGTTACCGGCCCCTTTGGGAAAAAAGTCTAAATATTAAAAAAAAAAATTAGGCAAAAAATTTTTTTTGGAAGGGGGTAGGGTTTATCTTGTTCATTGATACAGTGAAAATGTGAAATTTATTTTCTATAAAAAATGAATTGGAGAGAAGATATGGATCAAAACATACTGCCCAAGATCATATGAATCTTTAAGTTGAACAAGTTTTCCCATTCCATTTCAGCAATGGTTGCAGGGAAGTCTTTATCTGTGAAGCCAGCCAAGATTGTAGCAGGTCATGAACCTGAGAAAACAAATGAGTTTCTACAGGCTTTAGCTGCTGCCATAAATAAAGGGGTTAGTGTCATTATCAACTGATTGTGAACATGTAATAGTATTATTGAACTTCTGTATCCACAACTCCAATGTCTACCATAGCATGGTTATGTTGAAGTGAGGAGGGAGGTTCTTACTGCCTTCCTATTAGTATTTTCACCTCAGTAGATCCAGCAAGTTCCTGTTCATGGGTTTTGTTTTTGTCAGTGATTTACATTTGTAATTGAAAACATTCATGTACAAATATTTACATTCAGTGTAATTTTCTTTAAGAAATCCATTAGAAGTCTATGGCGTTCAAATTTCTATAACACACACGAAACCTTGTCACCGCAAGGTAGAATACACAGTAGGAACTATATGCATTTTTCAAAACTCTGACACATCAAAATTACGATGTTTTTTGACTCAATTTAATAAAAAAATATATATATAACCACGTTAAATTAAAGTAAAAAAAAAAAAAAAAACAAATGTGTGTTTAAAATTAATTTGTCACTTTTTTCCTCACAATGTTCGTTTGCATTATTAAACTTTGCAACGTCACAAATGGCTTTTATGTCTATATAGCACACCAGTTTTTAAGGGCGCTTAATTCACATTAAACATTACCGAAATTAACAATTATGAAGAAGAAAAGTTGGAGAATGTTAACAAAAGCATAAAATAACGCACGGTATTCAATTTTTTGACACAGCCAGGTGTGTTATAGGACCAAAGACATCCCAAAATATCAATTCAGTGCTTAAATATGAGTAGGTAGTGTTAGACTGATTCAAAAGAAATGAAACAAAACCTCATCTTTGCATAGTAAAGGAATATAGGAGTTAGTTATTGCAAATCAGTTTAAAATTATATGTGTTTATATTTAGGAAGTGAAAGTGCATCTGATCTCTCTGCATGTGTGAATAATATACATTTATTGCATGATAGTGAGGGAGACATGAAGATTTCTTTGCCCATGAAAAATCATATTCGCCGAGGGCAACACCCCAGGGGAATATGATTTTTCATGGGTGAAGAAATCTTCATGTCTCCCTCACTATAATGCAATAAATTGTTTATTTTACAGAATTAAGCACAATTCAAAAAATATAAAGAATATCATGAATAAAGTAAACATTTTATATGTATGTACAACATGAAACATATGAAGTAAAACCATTAGCCGCACGTCATTAACAAAAATCTCTTGACAAGTCAATGTGTTTTAATTATACACCCTTGTAAAATTCAAAACCCACCCTCATTAAAATCTATATTCTAAATATTTACAATATACTTTTGAATCTACACAATAAATCAACGAAGTAAACAACCTAATGCAGTATATTAAATATCTTAGTCACTGCTTTGTGAAGTCACAATCATGAAACACAACGTTTTGTTGCAGGGCAAACACGACGGTCACATGCCTGTCTTGGCCAATCAGATTCTATTTTACTAGTGATTATTTATACCGTATGAGTGGATATTTTACATTTTTAGCGAGACACAAATTTAGCGATTTTCTCTTTAAAAATGGTCATTTATTTTTAGCGAGATGTTATTTTAGCGATTTTAGAATGCATAGTGAAGAAGCTATTACAAATAAAACGCAATTAATTTTTAGCGATATTCAATTTTAGCGACCTCGGCACCCTTGCTAATATTGCCAAAATTAAATCCTCGCTAAAAATTCTACTTATACAGTATGAGGTATAATAATACATTTTGTATAATGCAAGGCAGTAAGTGACTGTTTAATAACATATAGCTTGTGATTGAAGGTTGACAATGATGAGTATGTGGCCAAGATGAATAAAGGAGGAGGTGAACCAAAGGAGGAAAAGAGGGATAAGTCAAAGGAGGGCAGCCGGGAAGATCGCAAAAAGAGGGACTCAGAGGTTTGTCAGGTTTTTCTTTTCACTGAAGTATAGTTTATCCTCTTTTATTGACCTGTCATGTATATGGCCAGGGCAAATAATGATTTCTCATTTCTATCATCTGCTGGTCTATCTGTTAAAAGACAAGAGCTTTATATGAATCTCTTTTTTTGATTAGGATAAAAAAGACAGAGATAAAAGTGCAAGTAGGGAAAAAAGTAGGGAACGACACAGAGACAAAGAAGAAAGACATAAAGACAGAGAAGATCGCCATAGAGATGATGAGGATCGTCATAGAGACAAGAAGGATCGCCATAGAGACAAAGAGGGTCGCCACAGGGACAAAGAGGAACGTGATGGGGAAAAGGAAGAGAGACACAAAGACCGGGAGGAGAGACACAGGGAACGAAAAGAAAGGAGGAAGGTAAGCATACAATAACAAGGCTCAAAGATGAGTGTTTACCCGGCCTCTCTTTGGTAAATTATATATGTACACAGTACATGTTCATGCTCATATTCCGATATGTTAATTAAATATAGGTCTCTGCATATTGTGAAAAACATGTACTACTATTTAGCGGGAGTCTTGGAAAGTCTTAAGTCATTTATACTTTGAGTTGTGCATGTAGACTGAATTAGTACATTGAATTTGATGTATGATTGTGCCCTTTTGTCTTACATTTTATCTTTAAGTTCTGCTCTTCTTTAATGGTTGTCATTTATGGTGTAATGTGGTTTATAACTAAAAATAAAATGTAGGTTGTACACTGACACTAGCTCACAGAAATGGTAATTTCTGTCAGTTTTTATTTTTAAAGAATTATACCTTTCCTGTAGTTCTGTCACAAAGATGCTATTAATTGTCCTGATAAACAGGCCCAGATTGAATCTTTGGAGACTGTAGGAGCTGCCAGGCTGGATTCTGATAACAGCACTGCCTCAGACATAGATCAGTTAGATGGACTGTCTCAGAACGAGGCTACAGAGCTAGACATAGAGTCCCCACCACTGGATACAAGTCATATGTCAAAACACAACAGACCAGGGGCTGCACGGCCTAGAGCTTCAAGACAAAGAGAGATGAAGGTGGCAGCTGAGAGTTATCCTCCAAAGGAGGAAATACAGGTAGCTGTCTTTGATGGTGAACAGAGTACACAATCAAGTAGTGAGCACTCAGTCACTGGAGAAGTAAAAACTGAGAGGAATAGAATGACAGGAACTAAGAGTCGAATGGCAGTTCGTCAACGGAGTGACAAACTTGATCCTCATCAAGGTGGAACAAAGAGTAGAGCAGCAAGGAGACCTGCTGAAATAGTAAATGATGATCCACAGGGTCATGTTGGGTCAAAGATCAAAGGTCAAAGAACAGGAATAATGGTACAGGTGGAGAAAAATGCAAGATTGGACCCAGCCCAGACGAGAGTCAAGGATGAAGTTGGGGGGTCATTAGAGCAGGGAAGACAAACAGGAGAACAGTATCACAAAAAACCCAAGGAGAGTGCAGGAGTCCAATTTACACAGAGCACAAAGGAACCAGAACAAGAGCAGAGCCCAGTCATCGAGAAGAGTCCAAAAGAAGGAAAACATACAGGCAAAGTTGTTACCAAAGAGGGTTTATTGAGAGACAGAAAGAGTGGTAAAAGAGGGAGTCCTGAACAGGCGTCGCCTAAATTCATCCCCAGGAAACAATCTAGAATAGCATTTGATCAGGGATATATGGAAAGAAAAATTAGGGAAAAGAAAAGGCAAGGTTCTATGTATAGCATTCAGAGAGACTGGAAAAGGGCTGAGAGAGCAATGCATAGCCGTGAGATTGATAGACAGAGAGGGACTTCTAGAAAAGAGTCAGATAAAGAGACAGATGTAACAGTTGATACTTCTGTAGTTCTCATTTGTTTGTTCATCAGTTGGTTTGTTTGGAACTTATGAGTTTCCAAATTTTGTGTTTTCACATTTCATGCAGTTATTCTTTGATTTTAGTGTTTCATTTTATTTGGAATGTTTTACTAGAGATGTTCAATGGTTTCTTTTTTTTCTGGTTTTTAGCTCACCTGAGCCGAAGGCTCAAGTGAGCTTTTCTGGTCACATTTTGTCCGGCGTCCGTCTGTCCATCTGTCTGTCTAGCTGTCCGTCTGTCTGTAAACTTTTCACATTTTCGACTTCTTCTCAAGAACCGCTGGGCCAATTTTAACCAAACTTGCCACAAAGTATCCTTGGGTGAAGGGGATTCAAGTTTGTTCAAATGAAGGGCCACGCCCTTATTCAAGGGGAGATAATTGGGAATTAATGAAAATTTAGTGGCATATTTAAAAAATCTTCTTCTCAAGAACCACTGTGCCAGGAAAGATGAAACTTATGGGGAAACATCCTCAGGTAGTGTAGATTCAAGAAATTTGTTCTTTTAAAAATCATGACCCATAATTCATCGGGGGTAGTTTGTTCAAATCATGACCCCGGGGCCAAAATGGCCGACCAAAGTTTTACATAGAAATATAGAGGAAAATTCTTTAAAAATCTTCTTCTCAAGAATGACAAAGCCCTAATTCATCATATTTATATGGAAGCATGTTCAGGTAGTGTAGATTACAAGAAATATATGAAAATTCTTTAAAAATCATGACAAAGCCCCAGGTAGTGGATTCAAGTTTGTTCAAATCATGACCCCCCGGGGTAGGGTGGGGCCAAAATGGCCGACCAAACTTTTGCATAGAAATATATAGGAAAATTCTTTTAAAAATCTTCTCAAGAATGACAAAGCCATAATTCATCATATTTATATGGAAGCATGTTCAGGTAGTATAGATTCAAGTTTGTTCAAATCATGACCCCTGGGGGTAGGGCGGGGCCAAAATGGCCGACCAAAGTTTTACATAGAAATATATAGGAAAATTCTTTAAAAATCTTCTTCTCAAGAATGACAAAGCCATAATTCATCATATTTATATGGGAGCATGCTCAGGTAGTGTAGATTCAAGTTTGTTCAAATCATGACCCCCCGGGGGTAGGGCGGGGCCAAAATGGCCGACCAAAGTTTTACATAGAAATATATAGGAAAATTCTTTAAAAATCTTCTTCTCAAGAATGACAAAGCCCTAATTCATCATATTTATATGGAAGCATGTTCAGGTAGTGTAGATTCAAGTTTGTTCAAATCATGACCCCCCGGGGTAGGGTGGGGCCAAAATGGCCGACCAAACTTTTGCATAGAAATATATAGGAAAATTCTTTTAAAAATCTTCTCAAGAATGACAAAGCCATAATTCATCATATGTATATGGAAGCATGTTCAGGTAGTATAGATTCAAGTTTGTTCAAATCATGACCCCTGGGGGTAGAGCGGGGCCAAAATGGCCGACCAAAGTTTTACATAGAAATATATAGGAAAATTCTTTAAAAATCTTCTTCTCAAGAATGACAAAGCCATAATTCATCATATTTATATGGGAGCATGCTCAGGTAGTGTAGATTCAAGTTTGTTCAAATCATGACCCCCCGGGGGTAGGGCGGGGCCAAAATGGCCGACCAAAGTTTTACATAGAAATATATAGGAAAATTCTTTAAAAATCTTCTTCTCAAGAATGACAAAGCCATAATTCATCATATTTATATGGAAGCATGTTCAGGTAGTGTAGATTCAAGTTTGTTCAAATCATGACCCCCCGGGGTAGGGTGGGGCCAAAATGGCCGACCAAACTTTTGCATAGAAATATATAGGAAAATTCTTTTAAAAATCTTCTCAAGAATGACAAAGCCATAATTCATCATATTTATATGGAAGCATGTTCAGGTAGTATAGATTCAAGTTTGTTCAAATCATGACCCCTGGGGGTAGAGCGGGGCCAAAATGGCCGACCAAAGTTTTACATAGAAATATATAGGAAAATTCTTTAAAAATCTTCTTCTCAAGAATGACAAAGCCATAATTCATCATATATATATATGGAAGCATGCTCAGGTAGTGTAGTTTCAAGTTTGTTCAAATCATGACCCCCCGGGGTAGGGCGGGGCCAAAATGGCCGACCAGAGTTTTACATAGAAATATATAGGAAAATTCTTTAAAAATCTTCTCAAGAATGACAAAGCCATAATTCATCATACAATGTATTTATATGGAAGCATGCTCAAGTAGTGTAGATTCAAATTTGTTCAAATCATGACCCCCAGGGGTAGGGCGGGGCCAAAACGGCCGACCAAAGTTTTTAAAGACATATATAGGAAAATTCTTTAAAAATCATTTTCTAAAAAATAGCAAGTCCATGATTGGTCATGGGACTACTTTTGGATTTAAACTTTACAATAAAAAGCCATTTTCTACTTTTTCCTACCCTTAGTGCTCAGGTGAGCGATGTGGCCCATGGGCCTCTTGTTTTGTATACAATTGTCTATACTTGTGATGATATTGTTTAAATTATAAATCTTTGATTTTAAATAATGTATGAAAATATGCAAATATTTCAAGGAACAGCATGATTTTGAAGGAAAAAGTGCTAATTAAATAACATTTTGTGCTAAGGGATATTAAAACATTTGCAGAACCAGAAGTTATATATCTTTAAAATGTCCAGAAGAATATTTTCTATTCATGAATCTATTTGCATAAGAATGCCATTTTAATTAATATCTTTAATTATATATGCTCTATTATTTTAGCACCAAGATGAAGAAAGTAAAGAGAATGACCCTTCACAAATGAATGGAGAGAAAGAGGTATGTATTTACCACGTTAACTGGGCCAATTTTTCATGACATTGGGTGATTACTATAGTTACACATTAATCAAGCCATATAGAAGAAAAAGCTGCAGCATCGTTTTTAAAACTTATAATGATTTAAATGTACTTTGTTTATGTGGAGTGGCAAGTTAAAAAATACTTGTTCTTTTTTTGTGTAGTATAGACACAATTTTTATCAAAAACTTCATATTTGTTGCTTATTTGTATATATGCATAGTATATTATATTCATGACAAATCAATTTAGATAGATTCTTTAAATGAATGTACAAACACATGAGCAAGTAACAACTGTTTATATAACATTTATAATACATTTTACATTAAAATGATAGAAATAAAAACTAACAATTTATTATAATAACTTTTCATTTGTTAGGAGAGTCCAACCAAGTTAGCCCGCCCTTCCTCTGCCAAAGGTTCTAGAAGGCGACGTGAAGGTTTGTCCTATTTAACATCCCATCCATGCTTACAAGTTTGGCCTTTATCAAGCAATAATTAAATAACTGTGTGATTCATTAATTCCTTCAAAATTCTTTTTGTTATCACAAAAACCCTACAATTTATAAAAGTTTATTAACTAACATCTTGCATAGAATTAGTATTGAAAAATGGAATGAAAAAGTAGAAAACTGAATGCTCTTTGAAAATTTCTTTAAAATATTTTTTATAAATGAGAATAAGATAATATGAGAATCTGGAAGCACTGCTATGACACTAGAATCCACCCTGTCTAGCCTGCATTGTGATTCACTTGATTTTATTTATATTAGATGTTCACTTTCTTCTTCTCGTGCTAATCGTGGCATGTTTATTTACCGCCCACTTTCAGGACGCCGACACTCGAGTGATGAAGGTAGGCGTACGTCACCAGTACTTGTGTACTTAATCACTGGTGTTTCTCTAGTATTCTGTTAGCGCACCTTCTTTGCTGTGGATAGGTGTTTCATAGTTTATGTATTTAATCTAGTTCTGTCTGACTATAATCAAGATATCATTCTGTGTAAAAATTGTCTGGCAGATTTATGTACTAGCTACAGAATTTGTACACATACATTCCTGCTTGTAGAAATAATACACATAGGCAGAGTATATTTCTAGATATAAAAATAAAAAAAATTGTTTTTAGTTTATACTGTGAGAAGAATTGTGGTCTTGGTGAATAGTTTCATGTAACTCCACTAATACTATTGTACATGATTATTATTTATACATGTATATACATGTAGTAGATTTGAAATTGTTTTGATTATCATAAGTAGAGAAATTAAATAGTGTATAATAGATTCATAAAAATTAAATATGTAAAAAGAAAATTTTTTTTGTAAATAGACGTATAATTTTGATATGAGAAGTTTGTAATTAATAAGGGTCTTTCCTTTTTGTAGATACAATACCCAAACACAGTAGTAGAGTCTATAAAACACAGGGTATAATCTGCAACACTACAGTTTTAAGTTAATCCTAGTCCTGTCCAGAAAGAAGTGGTGTTACTGGTGATTAAAACACATTAAAACATAATATTTATATACGGGTTAATTACCCCGGTAGTCAGTTAAAGTGAGATATGAAATGAGTAAAATATACACTGTACTCCAGACATGTACATCTTAAAGCTTACATTAGACTTGGCAAGACTGAATCGATTTTATTAGAAGAATACTTTTAGCATGCAATTTTATTTTCAAATATCCGAAAGATTTGTTAAAATAATATATAATTTTGGATTTCTTTATGCAAAGGGAGAGAACATTGTAATTTATTAAATTATGACCACTTCTCATTGTTCATATATAGACTTAAATGTATGAAATTTATAATGAAAGTAGAAAGTGATATAATTATGAATATTGACTTATTAAATAGTAAAATACATCATGACCTCACTGTGTATTGTACATGTACATTTAATATTGAATTGTTTCTTGGAATTTCTCCATGGGTTAAGAAGTCTCTATAATAATTGTTGAATACTGTGGTAATACTTATTCACTGTCACATAGTAAGATACATACAGATAGATGTTATGGTGAATATTAAAAAATCACATGATTTTAATGCATTTATTTCAGCATTCTCACAGATAACAATGTCTTAACACTTAAATTGAGGGAATGGCTTGTTATTAACTCATGTCTTGTCTTTGGTGCATGCCACTGCATGATGCATTAATGTATGACATGTTGCATGCTGATAAGCTAAATATAAAATGTATGGCTGGCATATTGTGCCATGTAATAATCTGACATTCAGGCTTAATTTTATTTACTACATATGCATGTTATTCACCAGAACTTTATGTTCCACAAATCATGTACTGTTTCATTTTAAAATAATTATATATAAAGAAATTAACAAGTATATGCCAGTCTTCTATTTTTTTTTTCTGGCATAAGTTTGTATATCATTGACATTGTGTTCTCACGGACAATGAGAGATTATAATTTTTTTTTATTTTTTTGACAGAAGATGAACCCCCAAAGACAATGCAGGCCTCAGAAGGTGGAGAAGAAAATTTACCTCCCCAAGTGTCCGCCTCGTAAGATTGATTTATTGTTTAGCGTCCCTTTTAAGAATTTTTCATTCATATAGAGATGTCACCATCTACCAGTGAAGGTCTTCAAATTTTTACTTTACTCATCAAGCAGGGCTGTTGAGCATCATTTTTATGCCTGCCCTGACACAGCTTTTTAAGGTCTCATCTAAAAAAATAAAAACATGTACATGCACGTAAAGTTGAAAAATTGTCACCAATATTAAAATATCTGTTGTAAATATCATGAGAATTTATCTACTTGAATAGTCAAAGTTACAAATTGAAGAGCCTGGAATTTCAAACAATTTTTTACCTATATATATATATGTCAGACCCATTAAAATTGTCAAATATTGAGGGGGGGGGGGGGAGTATAAAACGATTACATATATGATATCTTAAGTGGATGAAAGGGTTACACATAAATGATAAGGCTTAATTATAAAGTTATCAGTTCTTAAATATTTCTATAGTTAGTGTTCAGATCAAGCGTGGATTCTGGAAAAAAATTTTGTTTCAAAATTAAGATTTCCCCCTCCTCTTTAAAGATTAAGTTTTATATGCACCTTTATACATATTATAAAATAATACACCACATTGTTTTGTCTTGGAAATAGGTTTACTTTAAGCTTTGATAGTGAAGTCATTCCTGTGATATAGGTATTGAAGTGTTTGATATATTTTGTAGGAGATCCCTGGCTCGACCAAGTAGTGCCCGCCCTGCTCCACCCAGAAGGAAACAAGAAGTCATAGAGAATGAACCAGCCATGAGGTTGTCCTCACAAAATTAAATTTCCGTCATACATTTACATGCATATTAGATAATCTAGCCTAAAAAGTAGAACAAAAGCAAGTGTATTGATTGAATTTTTTCCTGTCCTTTTCTTACATTTACCATCATATTCATGATGGAAAAAGATAGTGAGATTCAGTAAGTAACATTAAATTGTGGTTTTTCCTGTAGACTGGGCAGTGGTAAGCCGAGTAATGTGATCGTGGACGGAGGTCAGGACTCAGATGAGGATGAGGATGAAACGTTTATGGTGGAGGAGACGGCAGCTCCTCAGGAGCCAGAACAGGTGAGGACCCAGTCACACAGAGAATTACTAAATGGAAGTCTGGCTTAAATTTGTATGATCAACAAAGTTATGTGAAGTGTGAGTTAGCAAGGTCCCAGCCATGCAAGGAATTACTTAAAGAATGCCCAGCTTAAAACTGTATGAGCAATGTTAATTATGTGAAGTGTGAGTTAGCTATGTCCCAGGCACGGGGAGAATTACTAAATGGAAGTCAGGCTTAAAATTGTATGATCAACAATGTCTGTTATGTGAAGTGTAAGTGTGAGTATAATTTACAGGCCCCGCCCCCTCAACAGGACGAGGATGAAGAGGAGGACCATGGAGGACTGGTCAAGAAAATGTTAGAAACCAAGAAAGAACTGGAGTCAGGGAGTCAAGTCAAAAAAACAGAAATCGTGAGTTTTTTTTTCAATTTGACAATCATGTACTCCACAAATTGATGGCTCATAATGAGTGTAACTTAAAATGACAATTGAAAGTTACACGTTTTCTTGTATCAGGTATTTTCTTGTTGAATTTAAGTTTCTTGGATAAAAGCCTCACAGAAATAAAATTACCATATAGATCACAAACTCCATGCTAATTTTCAGGAAAGACCAAAGATCACTGATGCCCAGCGGATGAAACAGCGACAACAGGTTCAAAAGGAAATTGATAAGTTAAGAGTCAGTATCCAGACCCTGACTCGCAGTGCGAACCCCCTGGGTAAAGTGATGGATTACGTACAGGAAGATTTAGACTCCATGCAAAAGGAGCTACAGAGATGGAAACAAGAGAACAAGGAACACTCAATGGAGCTGAAGAGAGAGAGGAGGTACTGTCTCTAATACAATGATTAGTAGTTACTTAGTTTTATAGTGATACATGGTTAGTAAATTTTAGGGATGGGTATCGCCAAAAATTTCGTATCGCGATATATCACGATTTTTTCGCACCATATCATGATAATATCATGATATTTTTAAAAGCAGTATTGACAATGATTTTATATGAAAAGTCATAATTTTTCTTTAAAAAAAAATACGCTAGAGAAATGAAATTTTACTTTCTTGAAAATTTTGTGTATACTACAGCTTACTCCACTTATATTGAACTCGCTTATTTTGAAATTCCGCTTATTTTGAAATAGAAATAAATCCCCAGTTTTTGCCTCTCATATTCTTTGCATTAAAATAACGGTTATATTGAAATCGGATATATTGAAATTTCGCTTATATTGAAGCCACTTATAGGTCCCCACAGGTGATAATGAGTTGTTTTCATAACGGTTATATTGAAGTGCTACCTGGCAGCTGTCGTTACGCTTGGTGACAGTAATTATGTCTGACTGACCAGTTGATATACACAGGTGTGAATAATTAAGTTTTCACCTTATGTTTTTTTATACTGCATGCTCTTACGAAATAAAATTCTTCACTATTAAATTCTTTGCGTCTATGTATATAATACGGACATATTAAGGCTAAGCAGCTAAACGTAATATAGTAACCCCCACAGATCTAGGGAAAAAAACTTAACTTTGAAATTAAATACGTACTGTTAATGGCTATTGATATGCCTAAATTCGAAATAACTAAGGGATTAACCCGAGTATACATACGATGAAATACAAGCAGCGTTCGGTAGTACTCAACCGTTTATGTCCGGTAAATTTTCTCCAAAACGTAAATAAATGCAATCGGGGAATAATAATGAGGTTGAAGATTGTCTTTTCAATGAAACAAAAATAAAAAAAAAATATTTAAACTTTTAAGGACCCATATTCTATATAATCTGTTCACTGTTATAGATAAACGATGACAACATTAATTTGTTCAGGTTTGTTCTTCTTTATTTTAGATCGGGATTGAACTTGTAAAAATGGCGGCTTCACAATTTCCCTTATATTGAATTACGGATATATTGAAATAATTTGCATGGTCCCCTGAATTTCAATATATCCGGAGTAGGCTGTATATAAAATCAATTATGTTTGGACGATAAGATGCCGTTCTTTTCACTTTTTACAGCATTTTTTATACTTTCTGTAACTGTAATTTGAAAGATTGAACACATAAATGAATAATTTCTGGACTTTATAGTATGTACCTAAAGACCGGTATTTCGGTCTCCGTATCACGATACGTATCACACAACAAAAAATCGCGATAAACCGATATACCGATTAAATCGCACATCCCTAGTAAATTTTGTACCTGGTGAGTTGAATTTAAGCTTACATTAAATCTCAGTTATATTGAAAAAAAAATTGAATTTTTGTTGTAACGCATCATTTGATTGGATAAAACAATTAATCTAAATTGTTTAACCTAGGTTGCCTACTTCACAGTGACTTATGTCAAAAACGTAACAATCCGCTTGATGTTATGAATAAAATAAGAACAATTTGAGGATGTTTTTTAGGGAGAAATTTTCTTGTTTTCTATACTTAATGATTGAAAGTTAAATTATAAGGAATGAATTAAATAGCAACTCAAGTTAAACTGGTATAACCTGGGTTGGCGCAGTTTATGCTTTATAAACCTTTAAGCTGTTTATAAAAAAACGTAAACTGCTCCAACCCAATTTATACATGTACAGTATAACTTGGGTTGCTATATAATTCATTCCTAAAATGGTCCATGATGATAAACATGATAAAGATATTAGGTTTTTATTTAAATTGATTGATTTTTTTTTCCCTTGCAGTATCACAGATAAAGCTATAGAGCCTCTGAGGGCCCAGCTTACAGAAGTAGACCAGGCCATTAAAGACCAGCTGGATCTCATCGCTGCTGTAAAATCCAACATCATCCGTAATGACCAGAAAATCGACAAAATGCTCCGGAGTATAGCCAAGTCTTGATCTACCCCAGATCTGTTACAGTTATAGAAATTTAAGCATTGTTTGGCAATTGTAAACTCAAACTGTGCTAGAAGGACCAAGATTTATGTATGAGTGTTATAATGCATGTGTGTGCGAGTGTGATATGCGAGGAGCATGCAAGGACAGTACTGTTATAAGTGAGGTAGGGCATTGATATTTCAGGGTTCATGGATGAAACAGGTTAGTGATGGTTTAATATTTAGAATGCTTTTGTCACTGCCTGGTCAGCCTGAATATTTGTGTAAATTTATAAGGATGAGAAAATGTTATTTATGTGTAAGAGAGTTTGGTATGCACCTGTCAGATCTTTAAACTGTTAAAATAAATTAAGAATTCCATTTTTGAAATTTATATTTTTCTCCTCATGTATTTTTCCTTTTACAATTCCTTTGTCATTCATCATGCATTTTCCTAAGCACTGTTTTAATGGCAGTATAAAAAGATCTGATTAATTCAGTTATAGTTCTGTTGTAGTTTTATTATAACATATAATCCCTATTTACCGCCCCAGGCACATAGAAAACTGTAAAAAGGGGGCGGATTATAATTTTGGTACTCTATTTATGATATTTAATGTCATATTTAACTTCAAAAAATCTTTTGAAAAAAAAATAAATACAAGGAACTACTAAAATAATGTCTAACTTTACTTAAAGTGAAGATAATCCACCCAAATTATGCTAATTTATTCATTTCCCACTGAAAAAATGGATAATAGACAAGTTTAATTTTCACTTTCTTCAATATTTTGATATGATTCTCCTTGATTTTAATCACTGTACAGGGGGTCCTTATTACCTGACAATTGAAAAAGACCTAAGGGGGCGCTTATAGGGGCAGGGGCAGTTAATAGGGATTATACGGTAAGACATTGCGATGTTTTTATTTTCAATCAGAGTAAATTGGCATTTTACATTGATAACTATTTGTCCCCAATAAATAGTTAATAGACAATACATATTGCCTGGTCCAATAAATATGTCACCCCCCAAAAAAACTATGCATGAAATATACGGTAACTACAGTTTGTGTGCTATTAGGTATCTCAGTGGGTAGACATTATATTTTCCTATGATCTGATTTCATTATGTGTTTTACTAATTTTCTTCCTCACAGATGTGCTAGATGCTGTGATTAGTCAAGATATTACGTATAACAGTGGGTAAACAACAGACATATCATGCTATCTGTCTTATTCTGTGTTGGTATATGTTTTTCAGCAGCATTATGACACTGTTTTATCTTAAATACTGTTGAGATACTATTGGTTGCTGCATTGTGCATTTTTTGACATTGTGTAAAAGTGTGTAATTTTTTTCCATAGATGCATTAAGTGCAAGTTTCGTTTCAAGATTTTTTTTTAGAATAAATCATTTCCTTTGGTTATTTGTCTTATTTATGGTGTTTCTATTTACTTTAGTGGGGTTTAAGACAGCAATGGATTAATAAATCTATCCCTAGTTTTATGCACAGCTATTACAGACACAAAGCCATTCTATGCCATGCTCTTCATTCTTAATCAGTATCTATGTATTTACCAATAGATTTTGCTTATTTATACCAGGATTTTAAAATTATTTCTTTCAATTTATTAAAGTAAGTGTTTTGATTTTTTTTTTATCTTTACATTTAGTAGAAAGGTTAGAATTTTGTCTTGTCACAACTTAATGTATACTGACATGTTGATCAGTTGTGCTACATGTATAATAAGATAATTATTACATTGTTAGATATTTCAAAGATGTTGGCGTTTATGAAACATTTCCGTCCATTTTTTAAAGACTTGTTTTGGTCATGAAATTGAATAAAATGTTTAAGACAAGTATTTGATGGTTATTTTTGTTTGTTTGTATTTTGTATTTAATCCAAGGCAAAGAGTTCATTTGCCAGAAGTTCATTAAAAGATTGTCATTGTTGTCCTATACACGAAGTCGTTTTGTACATATCATCTGGTATATTTTCCCACCAAGAAAATTATTATTTGATAAGTAAGATGCATTTTATCTTCCATTCTGCAACGGGAATATACCTTTCAATCATCCTTGGAATAATTGGATTACAATATCTGCCAACTTCAACCTATAATTTTTGGGAACTTATTGTTAACTGAGTAGAAATATAATGAAGCTTTTTGGAAATGGAATAAAATTGAATACTGTTAAATTTCCAGCTAGTTAAGATTTTGTGAATTTATTTGTTGGTTATAGAATGACTGTTTTCCATTACCTTTTCTTTAATGTCCAAAAACTAGATTTTCAAATTATTTGTTTTCAAAATCATGACCCAATACATCAACAAACAATGACGATTCCAGAGTTATGCTTGGAGTATTATCTTAAATTGAAACTTTGCCGGAAGAATGATATTTTTTTTTTTGGTAGTTTCATTGACCTAAAGTATCTCCTTTTAAGGTCTATGATTTGAATTAAAATCCACTTGTGACGCCACTCTTTTTTCTTTGAGCGCTGCATTATTTTTCAGAAATAGAGAGTTGCAAAATACATGAAAATAGATGTTATATTTATATTCTCCTTCCTTTGCCTTCACCAAGGAAGGAACTTTGAAATTTTTAGTTAGTTTATTTTCATATAGTGAAAGTAAATGAGGTACTGTTCAGAATCGAACCCAGCATCTTCATCTTTGTAGCCAGGTACTCATCTCATCTCAATACAATATCCACACTGTTGAATGACAGTGGGTTTTAATGACTCCAGTACACTTTTTCTGCATTCCTTGCTCTCTCTAGCTATATAAATAAAATACTTCTTATATGATAATGTTTTCAAACAATAATTTCAAGCGTTTAAATTCTCACATGTATATTTAAATGAGGATATATGATCATAAATTTTAAATTAATTATTCAATTTAAAAAGCGTACAATAGAAATCTTTTCATTGCATGTTAGTATGATTCAAAATACTTTGAATGAAACATATGAAGATAACGAACATTATTCAAGATCAAAAATCCATAAAACAATACTAAATAGGAGCAAAGCAAACACGAACCTCCAAAACAGAGGTGGGATCACGTGCCATGGAGGTGTGAGCATCCCCTGCCGACCGGTCACACCCGCCGTGTGCTCCTTGTCATGATCGGGAAATAACGGACTAACAATTAGTATGAAAAACGTCAGTCAACATTTGACTCAATGATAAATTGTATTTTCTGACACGGTCACTGTACCGACCATAGAACTTAAACGAAATGATGACTCTAAATGAGACTGCTGATATTATTGTTTCATAAACTTGTTTGTCAATAATTTACCTCGTTTTAGAAATTGCTCATCCGTAGAGCATGCTCTTGCGTATCAAATCAACAGAGATATATAAACTCCATATGCAGGTGACGAAGGTACATGTATATTGCTGCATAAGTAAGGGAAGTTGACGATTGAAAAGTTGAAGTCATCACGTTTATCATAGAGCTTGGCTGTTAGATTACCATTAACGTCATTTTCAAGTAAAATATCCAAATATGAAACAGATGAGTCATACTCTCTCTAGTATAGGGGAAAACACAAAAGGGACAGTAAAATATTAGTAAAAAGGTACTGTGCTTCTTTATACCTTTTCCGGGTTTCGATTCAGAGTCTGATATATGATTCATTACAGACTCTTTTACCTATAATGAGAAGAAACAAATCGGCAATATCTTCTTGTTCAAAAATTTATTCTTAGGTAGAAAGTCCTTTCATAAAATACTGAACTTTGGAGTAACATTGTGACAAAAACTTGACCCCTTTTATTCCCTTCGAAGTAATATTTCTCCATTAGAACAATTGATTGCAAAGCTTCTAAACTCTGAAAATTCACAGCGGAGTGATATTCCTCTGGGAATATTTACAGCTCTTATATATAAGAACCGAAGGTTGTGTACAGTTCTAGTAAGACAAAAATATCATCTACGGAGCAATATTCCTCTAAAAGGACTTTGTGGAAGTCTGATATGAGAAAATATGAACTAAGGAGTAATACATGTATTCCTCTATGTACAGTTCTACTACGAAAAAAGCTTATTATCTACGGAGTAATATACCTCCAGATGGCTAAATATGCTCAATACTATTAAGACAAATGACCAAATGATTTTTCTACAAGACTACAATTTTGATAAGACAAAAATAAACCACAAAGTAATAATCCGCTGAAAGACTGTGTGCAGTTCTAAGAAGATAAAATCTTATCTAAAAAGTAATGTTCAATTCTACATGTTCTAAGAAAACAAAAAAATTAACTACGGAGTAATATTCATCTACAAAAGCTACGTACAATTCAAAAAAAAATCTTATCGACGGAGTAATATTCCTCTAGAAGACTATGTACAACACACTGAAAACAATCTTATCTATGAAAAAAAAAAAACAACATAATAATATTCCTCTGAGAGAATTTGTGTACAGTTCCAAAAAGAAGAAACATTTCAGAAAAAGGCTACACGCGTGCACAGTTCTATTCAGAAAACAAATTGAACTACGGAATTTATATCTCTAGAAGGCTTTGTACAATTCTAATCAGACAAAATCTGAACTACGGAGTAATTCAAATTTCCAAAAGTTCCTTAGAAGTTTTACGTGTCCACATCTGATTTTCACCAACACTAAAGTATATTGTTGCAGAGTATTCCTGAAGGTGTTTCTCCTTCACTACTGTTAATATATTAGTGGAGAGGGAGGCTAAGTATGCACTTTTCTATTAACAAGATTAAAACAAAATCTGAACCATGGAGTAATAATTCTCTGAATTCTAGGTACAGTTTTATAAAACAAAATATGAACTACGGAGTCATATATATCTAGGAGGCTTTGCACAGTTCTAGTGCGTAAGACAAAATCTGAACTACGGGGTAATATTCTGTAATGAGTAATGAATAAAACAATAGGCCTATACTATTCAAACGTTGGTGTGACCTGGACTAATGGAACAGCCCAGGAACCTGTTCACTCCCGTTTGAATGGTATAGCCTTTTGCTACATAAAAGGCTGCAGAGGCAATTTCGGGCATTCTGAAACCCGTAGAAGAAGCGAGAAGCTGAATAGAAGATAAAAGGTAATAATAGAACCAGAAGTATTTAAAGGGCAAAAGAAAGATAAGTAAGGCTGGGGTACAGAGCACTGGTGTGTATTTAGCCAAGGAATTGATTTGAAGTACAATGTGTAGTAATCCTGAGTAAGGGTGAGACACCGAGTGCCCATTTCAATAGGAACTTGGTTTCGGAACCAGGTGCAAGGAGCCTAGTCATAGTACCCGGTTACAAAGAACATCGAATTGTATCCCGCTGTTTATATAAAAATAGAACAAGGACAAGTATCCCATAGTAATAATAAATAATTATTGTTGTAAATAATATTGATTCCCCGTATTAATTTTAGGCTCAGATAGAGCCAGAGGAAAAGTTTACATATATTTGGCTAATATTAAGACACTGTATCCCTTGAAAACGGACCCTTAGAATACACGTTACATTTTGGTGGCAGCTGGTAAAGGGATAAAGGGTACATTCAATTGTTAGAATCTGTCGAATTAAGTTTATTTAATAGTGTGAACTGTGTTCTGTCACCGGGTTCTCGTAAACGCATATCAGTTACTTGGTTCAGATACAAGGTACAGAGTTCTGTGTGCATTGTGTTAGATATGTGCACAACAGTAAAATTCAATATATTTGAGTACTGAGTATTATTCTTAGTACTTGGTATATAGTAATTAAAAAAGAAGAATGAACAAGAATCAGAACTGTGAGCAGATCTTGAAGAAATCGACGTTAGACGACGACAATTAAGAGAAACGTTTGAAAAGTTAAAGTCTACGCCAAGATCATTGAATGTTATTAGGCCCTCTCTAGTTATTGATGCTGGTGTAGACTTGAGGCAAAAGACTGATGACGACAGCATAGATGAGTTGATGGGTAAAGTTAACATAAAACCCCACCACAAGAGCTAGTCATGTCAAAGGTGCCATGGGTGGATATGAAGAACACAAGACCCCAAGTTATGATTTCCATGTTCCTGGAAACAAAGATATGTGGGGAAGAGGCGATGTTTATGCCACACCGAAGTCAGCGTACACAGGGATGTCACTGGGTAAATCAGCATATACGGATTTCACCGCCACATGTACACTGGAGTACGTTAGGTGTAAGCTCAATGTCAACACCCACAATTTAAGTGTTACATGGAGTCTTGCAAAGGACAGAGAACCTATGCCGACTGTACCCAGTACACCATTAAGTGCAGCGTTACCAGTGAATGAAAACAGTGGTTATTGTCCTAGCACTAACACATTTGGTAAAACTGTGATGAAGCCTGTGACATTTGATGGTACTGGGTCCTGGATTGATGACAAAGCTCATTTCGAGGCATGCAGTAGCATCAACCTGTGGAATGATAGACAAAAGGGCTTGTACCTGGCAGCATCATTAAGAGGCCAAGCACAAACAGTTCTGGGGAGTATGAAAACAGATCATGCTTGTGCTTATAGAGATTTGTGTGAAGCGTTAGAGGCTAGATTTGCACCGACTAATCAGACGGAACTTTATCGAGCCATGTTAAAGGAAAACATCAGAGGCCAAAGGAGACACTGCCAGAATTAGGGAAAAATATACGACGACTAGCACATTTAGCGTACCCGACGGCAACACGTGAGGTTACAGAGATGATTGCTAAAGAACAGCTCATCGATGCCTTAACGGACTTTGATATGCGCCTTAGAATACAGCAGTCACGGCCCAAATCCTTAAATGACGAAGTTCGGTTGGCCGTTGAGATTGAAGCCTTTTGTAGAGCTGAACGCCAGAGAAGACACGATGTTAGTTTTGCCA